GCGCCTTTTTTATATGTATATTCAGGTTGCTTAACGCATAGAGTTTCCCAATATATACACTAGAGGGAACTCTGGCGCTAGTGTCTATGGGAACTCCAATGCACGGTGCTTCAGCGAGCATGGGAATGATGGGTAGTACACACATTTGTCTAAACTTCGTACTTCTGGCCTGATTTTGGCTCCGTGTGTGTTCGTGTGGCTTGAAGCTGTTTTTTCACGAAACAAAAATCAGCGAATGTTCAGCGGTTGCGCTTCACTATATTATTTTTTAGACTTACTTTTTAAATCGGCTCACGAAGTTCAAAAGGGCTGAATTTTTCTTTCAAAACAAAACTGAAACCCAGCAATAAACGAAGCCGCAAGTACGATTCGCCACCCGCAAGTACGAAGACTAGGCAAATGTGTGTACTACTACTACCCATCAATCCCATGGTCGTTGAACGATCGCAGCGCCAGAGTGCCCTCTAGTTAATTTTGAGAAACTCTATGGCTTAACGATGAGCATTCATCTTTATTAGCAGCCAAAAAAAAAATAAAAAAAATACAGCAAGCGCACGCCGTGATCACCAACGGCGATACCATAGAACACCTACGCCAGGTGGGCGTCGGAAATGGTCACGTGACGTGGTGATTGGACGACGATTTGCAGCCGCCTCCTCGCGCGAGCTCGTCCGCCGCCTCAGTGGAGGGAGAGGAATCTCCGGTAGCTCGGACGGGTCCGCGCGTGCTTTTCCCAGCGCACGCACGGAAAACGTGTTTCATCGTGTTTCTTCGGGCTTTCTATCGAGCATTTGTCACGCACGCTATGGGCGCCGCTCTTTCGTCGTAGTAGTGGAAAGCAGGCACGCACTGCTGGTGCATTGTCAGCCGAAAGCTGCGCGTCAAGTTCCACCGTTTCCACTGGAAACATTGCGAGGAAAACAGATGCCTGAAGAGTGTATTATGGCATTTCGCCGCACTAGGCTACGCGCTTGCGGTCTTATCACTTTGAAGAACGTTTCGCAATACACATGTAATAATAATAATAATAATAATAATAATAATAATAATAATAATAATAATAATAATAATAATAATAATAATAACTTTAGTTGTACGTTCCAAAACCACGATATAACTATGAGAGACGCCGTAGTCGAGCTCCAGTTCAGGAAATTTTGACACGGGCTTCTACGATTTGCGACAACCGCGGCCCGTTCGTCGTACACAGTATTTGAAAGATAAGTACATCTTTGAACTGAATCAAGTTGCTACAAATAGACAACCGCTGGCTTTCCGGGTCAGCAGCTTGTAATGGGACAGAAGCGGACCAATTTGACCATTTGCAGAAATCTGCAAGGTGGCTTTCTTGCAAAGTTGTTTTCCAACCAAAAGGTCTCGTTCACTGACTGCTTTTCTCACTCATTGTGCTTTTGCATTACTCCCACCCCCCTTCCTTTTTTTTTAACCGAGGACAGATGCATCGCCCACCGTGCGATCTGAGGGTTCGCTCGACGTGAGAGCATTGTTGGGGAAAAAAAAAAAAAAAAAACGTCGTTTTGTCGTGCTCTCGGGCCAATTCACTAGAATAGGAGCGAGAAAAGCAGTCGGTGCAAGATGAGTTTTTGTTTGCAAAACAACCTTGCAGAAAAGCCACCCTGCAGATTTCTCTATGTGATCAATTAATAGACCAGTTTACCGCCTGCAAGCACGTACCACAAGAGTTAGTAAATTTTCCGTCACTTGCTCTACATATTTAAGCTGCGTAGCGTAAGAGAGAACTTCAAGGCGAGCCAGGTGGTACGTATATAGTTAAAAACAGCGCGAACAAGAATTCACACAGGATCAGCGCTGCTCAGCCAACAGCTTACTGCAAGAGGAAAACGTGGGGGAGGGGAACGTATAAAATCCTCTGGTGATGCCCTTTTCCAGTGACACATTATTGTTTAGATAACAGATAAGATTTGGAGGTGCAGCTACACTTCTTGTCTGCGAGATTAATCGACAGCGCACTGACACCTGCTTCATATTTCCATTTTATTCGTCGCGAAATTCTCATAAATTTCACGTGCGCAGACTGCTCTTCGTACGCACGTGCGCAGCCGTGAAGTTGTCAACGTGTTCGTGCAGACAGTCCTTATCAACCATAGTTGAGGCAATGGCCTATCTGCCCGCGCCGCTTCCACAGGTTGATTTGATTGATATGTGGGGTTTAACGTCCCAAAGCCACCATATGATTATGAGAGGCTCCGGAAATTTCGACCACCTGGGGTTCTTTAACGTGCACCCAAGTCTGAGCACACGGGCCTACAACATTTCCGCCCCCATCGGAAATACAGCCGCCAAAGCCGGGATTCGATCCCGCGACCTACGGGTCAGCAGCCGAGTACCTTAGCCACTAGACCACCGTGGCGGGGCGCTTTCACAGTTTGTCAGGATCTTCTAAACAACTTCGCACCGGCAAGAACTAATTCTTTGCGTGCTTGCTCACACACGTCTTAATTGCTTGCTTCATCCGTATCGTGTACCTTCTTGCATAGGGAGCTCAGTTTGTTGGGGGCCGAGAATACCGCATATGGACCCCGCTCGCCCACCAGCTGCCTTCTTGCAATGATGAGGTGATAAACACGCACTGTGCACGGGCGGTATCACATTTGCAGGTGTGGGCCGATGCGTTGCTTCGCGGACCTCACTTGACACAAAAAAAGCCTGAGAGCAGTCAGTGATGAGTCTGATGACAATTGCAGGCTCTCCGGGTTGTCGCTTCCCCTTAGTCTTTGCGACGTGAATGTTGAAACTTTGCGTTTCCTTGCCACCCTCTTCCTCCTTTCACCCCTCCGGGGTCGCCACTGTTTCTCTCAAGGTCAGGAGAGACGACGACTGCGGCAACACTCGGTAGCCAGTGCTACATTAGCAGAATAATGGCACCGAGGGTGGCGACTCGGGGAAGAAATCGAGAGCGGCACATCTCCTTTGGGGGCGCGAACAGGAGCACGACGATGCACTCCGGGGCTAGTTGACCAAAACGAAAGGCTGGGCCCCTTGAACGCTGCCCAGCCTCTTTGTTTTCCTTAAAGAGAAGCTTTAGAGCGTCTTAATTGTGTTTCACATAGTTATTTTTTAACCTTACTAAACAGTTTTCTCATCGAAGGCGTACGAACGAGTAGCTGCGTGTCTGCACATGCAACATACGGAGCACGCTGAGTTGTTGCGCTGCTAGGATCGAGGCTGCGAGTTCGATTCCCGCATACGGCAGCTGAATTTCAATGGAGAGCGAAATGCAGTAACAACGGTGTATACTTAGATTTAGGTGCGCGTTAAAAAAAAAAAAAACACTCAGGAGGTGGAAATTATTCTGAAGTCTCCTCCACGACGTGCTTTTCGGCATACTATCATGCTTAAAAAGAATAGGTTACGATAAAATTTTCGATGGTTTCCTGAAATCAGACGCGGTTATCAACAGGGGCAAATTTTGGCGTCCCAGTAAGTATATTCCATAGGTAGTATGATGAAGGCCAATTAAGTGAGCTAGCTGTCAAAACAACCAAAAGACATTTGAATCAGCGAACACGATGCGTGGTCACGGTGCTCATTATTTGAAATGAAACACGCCGCAACAGAAAACATGCACGGTCGCAGTGGACGTGAAAGATTTTTGTGCACGCATCATTATGCTGTCAAAGGTAGCTGTAAAACTCCACAGTGGCATTAAACATTACGATACGACGTTACCCGATGCAAACATCTCCAAAAGTCATACTCCCAGGAAACTGAACACTGCGCATTACAATGCTGCCAGCGACTCAACAGTGCAAGCGTAAATTGATGCTCTTCACGCTGAGTTCATGCCGAGTTTGAAGGAGCGCGACCAACTTGGCATCCAAGTGATCGAAAGCCGAACACCATCGACACGAACGGAACCCTCGTTAAAACAGCATCGCCCTTGACGACCTGCTCGGTCTCGCAAAGGTTGTCGATCAACCGCTCTCCGATGGGTTTCACGCCGTGATTTTTTTTTTTTCTACCTCTGAGACTTTTTAAACCTAGACACGTGAGGCTGTAACACAAGGCGAGAGCGCGTGCAGGGCGCGTGATCCACCGAGCTTCATCGATTTACCAAGTGCCAGATCACTCCGCGGACGCCTCGGCTCATGGACGGCTACGTCACATGCACGTGATCTAAAAGTCCCGAGCGGCCTCCGGCCATCTGTGCGCTTGATGCTGGCTGCATCCGGTGTGGCGTCTGCTATGCCAGGCCATGCCGTCTACTCCCCCCACAGCTGTGACACAGGCCACAACGCCGGCGCAATTCCAACCTAAACAACAGTTAGTGAATTATACCTATTTCTGTTGTGATGCAACTTACTGTAAGTGAACCACTCGAGCGCGTGCGCATCGTAGACCGGCGCGGTCCTTCCACCACTGTTTCTTCTAGCGAGTATAACGCGTGTTTGCACGACCTTCGGGAATACGCACATCCTCGGCGAGGCTCAGAACACCGATGACAAGAACTGGGTGCTCAAACAGTGCGAAATCCAGAAACATGCGAGAAGCGGACAGAAAAGCAAAGAGAGAGCAAGAGCAGGTAAAAAAATTCCGAGTGGACGCATGTGGGCCGCACTGGCATGCGCCCCGCGCTGTCGGCTGCCCGAAAGAAATCGTTCGGACAGTTGTCCCGCAGGCTCACTGACACAACGTGACCACAGAACAGCGCACAACAGAAAGGCGGCAGCGGGGGGACGAGCCAGGACGAGCGACCGGTTTTTGCAAGAAAGGCGGGAAAACGTGTGCGCCGCTGCGCCACAGCCCGAACACCGCCGGTGCCGCGCGGTAGTTTGCGATGATGGCGGCCGAAGGAGGGTGCGGCATCACGCGCACAATCGTGTTGCAAGCAATCACCGCAAGGATCGCTAGCTACCACCTCCATTAAAACATGGGGGAATAAGAACTTCCTCCAGGATTAGAAACGAGAAAAGAAAAAAAACAGCAGGTGGTTTTTGGCTCGCGCGCACCGTGCGCACGCGGCAGGCATAATGGGTAATGGAGGCGTTGGTCTGACGTAGAGCAGACGTCGGCTTTTCTTAGTACTGTGTTCAAGAAATGGCGGCGAGCTCTGGTAGTGCTGGTGACTGGTGTCTCATCGAAAGCGACCCAGGAGTCTTTACTGAACTAATAAAAGGATTTGGTAAGTATGTGACGGCTGTTTTATTTATCAAACTGCAAAATTTATCAGCCGAAGTATGACTACGCCCATGGTGGGAGGCATTAGTCTACTAGTTGCATGCGCTAATGATGTCATTTGTCTATTATACAGTTTTCGTTGATTGCTTCGTTTGGCCCATGGCTTGACCCGTGACTGCTGACCACACCAGATTGTTGATTTCGATGTTAATTGGTTGCTGTCCCCTGTGACGTTTTCTGCCATTCGTAGGTGTAAAAGGCGTGCAAGTTGAAGAGCTGTGGAGCTTGGATCGAGAGAGTTTTGATAAACTCAAGTAAGTGTCTTCAAAATGGTTTTATGGTTTGTCTTGTTTTTTTTTTTTTTTTTGCGAGAAATGCGGTGTGATTATCTGTTCAGCGAGTGACGCCTGTATTTTTATTTGCAGGCCGGTTCATGGTCTCATATTTCTTTTCAAGTGGTACAGAAACGATGAACCAGGTGGCTCTATCGTGCAAGACAATCGCCTGGAGAAAATATTTTTTGCCAAACAGGTGCGCCGTATTTTTAAACCTCTACGGTGATTTGACCTTCAGTACTCACGCGGTTTCTTCGGCGCAAAAACAAAAAGACCTGCACTTGCTTTGGCGGTAGCTCTACGATGTGACTGTGAAGGTTACTATTGTGCGAGTCATGCTGATTCTTTTTGGTTCTGTAAGGATTGCAAAAGCGTAATGTTCGCGTAATCCTCTCTCCGACATCCGCCGCTATGCTTGCGACTCGAATGTCGCAGGATCGATTTTTTTCCCCCCGCTGCAATCGTGTCGAGATGTCTGCGCATTGCAGAAACGTTCGTGTACTGAGCCTACCGGATGCGTTTTCCTGTTAATCGGAGAGAACCGCCGGCTGTTAGGGGTGGATGATTTAACTGTCTCACTGAAGCACCGCACCATTTGTGCTAGATCCCCCTCAGCGCAATGCCGTTCTGGCAGTCTCGTCAATCGTCCTGTAGTGTAGCGACGGAGGCAGGATTAAGGAATGCCGATGCGAACACGGGCAAAAACGTGGTAAAAAGCAACCGATTTTCTCGAGAGCTCAGGCGCTCGCAGTGCTCTCCATTTCGTCGCATCCGCGCTACAACAGACCTTTGCGCAAAACGGAAGTTTGACGATCGTGCATACTGAAGCTTTAGCGCACACACACGAGGACAGAGACGATAGGTCCCTGTGTCCCTATCGTCTCTGTCCTCGTGTGTGTGCAGTGAAGCTTCAGTATGCAGCAAAACCCAACTAGCTGGCCTTTCCGTTTCGTTTCATGCATTTGTAAATAGGCAGATTGAGTGCGTTGTGGTATGTGGGTCATTTTGTGCCAAACGTCTCAGCCATTTTGGCGACCATCTCAAATGTATTTGAAAACAATGTGCCGATTTACTTCATTGAAAACAGTTAAACGGTAGAATATTTCCGAAAGAAAAAAATCTTTGGCCACGTGGCTGATTCGGAACTTCCCGGAATGTCGTTAGGGTTTATTTGTAGAAATTTTTTTTATACCAAACTTGGTCTACTTGTTGAGTAATACCCACGCCACACGGGCACAGGAAATGACATTCGGTGGTGAAGGCATTTAGTTCCCGAATGACATTTTTTGGGGCGGAGTTGCTACACTTCCAAAACAAATAACATTTGACTCGGATGATGACCATCACACCATCTTCTGTAGTAAGCAATTGTGGAGTAGTAATAGAAAAATAAGCGTGCGTTTACAAGCTACATATACCTCCAAGAAGAATTAAATGTAGAAATAAGCATATTACACTGCCATTAGATTTCGTTTGTTACTTAGTTTCACGCAGCTGCGACCGACCGTGCAGCAACTTAAGCCATAGCTAGTCAGATCCACAGCGTAAAAAAAAAAGTGCCTGTCGCATTTATTTTACAGCGTCTACCACCTCAAGAAAAGTTTTTAAGCACTTGTTTAAGTGATTAGTGTAAATAAAAGTCTCAAAAAGTTTTTGTCTAGTCAAATCAAATGTTGTTTTATATAATTACTTCATCAGCTGTGCCGTAGAGAGTGTGCATTTCTCAGTCGAATGAGTTTTGCCTATGGCATTGGGTGACGAAGGGCATTTAAGTGAATGTCATTTCTTTCATCCCTGTAGCACCACGCAAATGACATTCAATCTGAAGGTATTAGGAGGTAAATGCCATTTTTTCTGCCCGTGTGGCACAGGTATAAAGGTTCTTGTGTAAGGCATTTGAAGCTCAGCAATATTTACAGCACCTAGGAGGCAGCATACTTCGTAATTACACTTTGTGTTTATTTATATGCGCAGCCTCAAACATAGGAGCAGGTGTCAGTTAAAGCTCTTAATTATGAAAGGACATGATCTACGTGAACCGTTTAAATACTATGTGGCTTTTAGGAACAGTATATAACTTTACGAACTTTGTGGTTGTTTTCTTTTTGTCTGTCGGATTGAAGTTTCATATTTGATGCATTTTCTTCATCTCGTGTGACACAGGCGGCATGCAAAGTCTTGAAAACTACTAGTTTATTCTTGCACATCGCAAATGTCGTGCAAGAGGCAGTTCTAAAACAATAAAGGGAAATCAAAGTCCAATAATGTAATGAAACTTAAGTAACACAACGAAGCTTTAAATAGCACATTCGCTGACACCACTTGCTTACTCGTGCCACATTTTCCGCTTTTACTATAAAATGCAGCCTTGTTATTACTTAAAACTTGATGAGGCTGTTAGTTGAATCCGTGGAATATTGGTCGCAGCCAACACAGTCAGTTTATTTTTTCTTAGTGCTGAAATCAAGTCCATTAGGCTATTTGCTCTGTTTGTTGAAGCTGAAGCAGTGTGTTAACGAGTCTTCCATCTTTGCAGGCTTGCTCGTCGCAGGCATTGTAGGCTTGCTCATCATTATTCACGCCATGGCCATGATTTAAAATTTGACCAACGACAGCGCAAACATAGCAACGGAGGCGCACACAGTAAGCGCGCCGTACGCTTGCTACGACGCTTCTGGCTGGAGAGAGCAATCTGAGAAGCTACGCGTGCACCACCTCTCGTTGACATGAACAACTGCTACACCCTCCGTCATTCCTTGCAGGCTGCGTTGCTCCCGCTTCCCCTTCTAGTCACTATAGTATTGCAATAGAATAAATGCAAACATAACACATTTTGGCTAAATTTTTGGAGGCATATATGCTAATGTAATTGCAATAATATTGCCGAGTTTGAAACACCTTATGCAAGCACTTTTACTAAATATCTAGACCAAATTTGGTATAGAAAGGAGTGGTACTTTTAAAATAATATTTTCCTCAAACAACACCCAAACGACCTTTCAGAAAGTTAGAAGGCAGTTACGTGACTAACATTTTTTTCTCTCCGAAATATTCAAGCAGTTCCCTGTTTACTATGCAGTAAGCCAGCACTATTTTTCTCGAATACATTTGAGATGGTCACCAAAATGGCTGGAGCGTTTGGCGTGGAATGACCCAACTTCATGTCTTTTCATATGAAATTGGCGATTTCTTATATTTTTAGGACCAGGAGATTTTCGCTTGTACTTATGGTGCCTGGTGATCACTTCCTCCTGAAAAATGTATTTTAGGACTTATTGTTGCTGGAGAAAACTCATTTTATTGTTTTACTAAATGGCGAGCAAAGTGATATTTTACACCGAGAAAACAATCCTGAACCTTAGATTACAAACCTATGGATATAAGAATCTGTAGGTTCCCTGTTACATAAAGCAGCTACATTATTGCATAATCATAAGAAGTTGCGTTGTTGCAGTTAATTGTGTTGTAGGTGTTTAGCAAAATTTTGTGCCAGCTGTTTCAAGGCAGACAAAAGTTTTTACTGTGAAGGAGCCAAGGGTTAATGCTGGTTTAACATGGAACGATGATTCACGAACTCTGGATTGCTGTTTTTGGAAATAACTTACTAGTATTATTCAATAACTCAATCAGTGTGGAAAAGATATGATCACACTAAATACAAAGCGACTTTGGTGGAAGCCAAAGAAGCACTATAATAAAACCCCCAGTCAGGGCTGTAGCCAGTTTTTTTTTTGGTGAAGGGGCAGTTGGTGGGGGGGGGGGGGGGGGGTTCAGCCGTATTTTATGTATGTTGGTGTGTCTGCATCCATGACCCCAGCCTTGATTTGTGCGAGTCCAGCATAGCTGAAGCAGTCGTATTTTGAAGCCCCAGCTCACATGAGGTGCTGATTTGTGTGTGTGCGTGTGCATTGTGTGTGTGTCATTGCCGATTGCCCGGCAGGCCATTCTAACTAGACAAAATTATTACGTTCGATAATTGTTTATCAAGTGCAGGTTTTTTAAATTGTAATAGAAGAGCTTATGTCATTTCATTCGCATGAGTTGCTACTACATAATCTCTTGGTCACTAGCGATGAAATAGCTGTTTGTGAATAAAGCACAAGAATGTGGTAGTATGCTCGGTAACTAAACGATAATAAGAGTGAACCTACAGGTAAGTCTGCAGTTGTTAGTCCTTGAGTACTGGTTGACTTGATCTCTTCAAGCTCAGCATGGTTTATACTGTCGAACCCACTTATGATGATCCCAGATGTAACGATCTATCAGTTATAACGACCATAATTTATTTCGGTGCACTTACGGTTTTCCTATGCTACCCTTTGAAATTGAGTACAGATACAGTGAAAAATTTTCAGCATCTCCTACTTTTACAACGAACACTTCCGACACGGTCGCGGTAAAAATATAACGCTTACGAAGCGGGGAAAAAAAAAGGCATTCTGAAGCATGTGATAGGCGTGCTGGCGTGTGCATCGCAGCAGTTTGCTTGCTACGGAAGATATCGCAGAACGTGGCGAGCACCGCACGCAGATTTCGGATGTTGCGAGCGAGGTGGTTCACATTCCAGACGTTTCTTCACAGGCAAACCGGAAGTGAGGGGGATAAAAACGAAAAGAAGACATAGGAGCACGGTGCACAGGAGGCAGCATAGAAAATTGCGGTCAGCTTTCGCACAGCAAACTTTCGCACGCCGTTTTCGGCATCTACGATCGCCGACAATAAACCAGCGATAGGAGTTTTAGAATATCCGTTTGCAACCGCTGCGGGCGCCATACGAGTTTTAAAATAGCGTTTGCCCTGCTGAACCGCAATGCACGATCGCAGCGACACCGTAGCCTCGAAACCAGCGCTTGCGGGCCGCCATCACCGCTCGCAATTTCGGATTTTCTGAGTGCGGTCCGTGAACGCCGACTCGCTTTACGACGCGTGCGCAGTGGCAGTGACTCCCTATTTTATGGAGTTTTAGAATAGCGCACCGCGAGCCCTTGCGGTGCGGTCCCAGCCACTGCGCATGCGTCGTAACGCTAGTCAGCGTTCGCGGACCGCACGCAGAAAATCCGAAATTGCGTGCTGTGATCGCGGCCCGCAAGTGCTGGTTTCGAGGCTAAGGTGTCGCTGTGATCGTGCGTTGCCACGAAGGACGCTTCCTCCGTGTGCGTTGCAGTTTGCAGCAGGACAAACGCTATTCTAAAGCTCTTATGGCGCCCGCAGCGCTTGCAAACGGTATTCTAAAGCTCCCTAATGCCTTCGAACGCAAGAAGCCAAAAGTGCAAGAAGTGATAGCTTTTGTCGCGCGAAAGTTTACTGCGACGTTCAACTCTCCAACACCACCATAAGCCGTTAAAGGTTTTCCACCTGTCGAACGAGAAAGACCGTCGATTAGTGATAACTTCCGCGCGGTCGCAGCGGTGCTTTAACGGATAAGCACAAAAAAAAAAAGAGCGATAGCGACGTGGCCGGTGGCTATGAACGTGCCATTTTGACTCACTGCTGGCGAACTTATCACAGTCATCTGCAGATAACTGCTCGGTGGAGTGACGGATGGTACAAGCGCGTCATGGCGCTGTTCGCAAGTTCCCCGCCGCCGCGTCATGCGAGGCCGCTAGCGCACGTTGCTTGCAAAACAAAACAAAAAAAAAAAAACGACAGGCTACTTGCTGCACTTTAGCGTGATCCCGAGTGCTTTATGCGCGAAGAATGCACAAACGCGCGCATACATTGGACTGCACGACATACATTAAACTGGCATGCGACGGTGAAAGTAGCTAGGGTAAGCGTCATACCTACTGCTCGCAACTAGCCAGGGATGACTGGTTCGACTTGGCGGTACCGCGATTCAGAGGAACGGCGCAAGTTCATTGTAAACGGGCGTCGTTTAACACGCAAAAAGGCCTAACTTATCAGCGGAAGGCAAGGAGGATTAAAGAAAACTTGCTGGAGTGGAAGCTCCCGCAATGCCTTGCCAGCGGAAGTGAAGCCACCTTTTGCCACTGCCAAGATGGCGAAAACGTGCTCTTTTCTAATAGTGCCCACTTGAAGATCAAGTTGCTTTGATATGTTATGTAAATTCTACGTTAGTTCTATATTAAAAGAAAGTTGTTCCCGTCGAAATAACACACAGAAAACGAGTGTGGATGACTGAATCTTCAAAGAACTTTGCCTCCTACTAGAAGGAAAACCAGTAACTGTAAGACGCACTTAGAGCACTATGTGACCCGACAAGGTTCACACATTAAATTCGTTGGGCGTGTGAGAGAAACGCTTCGTTTTTTATCGGTGAACGGTGGTACTTAAACATGCCCCTAGTAAGATGGCCGCCGCAGCCACCATCTTGCAAGAGGAACGGCTTCACTTCTGCGCAATCATTTCCACTCCAGCAACTTTTTTAATCCTCCTTGGCGGAAGGGTTGTTCACACTTTTTAATAAAAATGCATTAGAAAACGGTTTGGCCACTTTGTTGACGTTTTCATGGGCAGCTCCAGATACAATGAACTACTGATATAACGACCATTTATGGCGACACTTTTGAGTTCGTGCCAAACGGGTTCGAACTCAAATCCTGAACTCTGGTACGGGAGGGGGAAAGGCAAGTAAGCCGTCGGTGGCCCTGGGTGAAAAGGAGGTTCGGTACCCGAGTTCAGCGCTGCCATGTTAAAGTGATTATTAGTTTGTGATGGACTGTTGCGTATGTTTTTGGCAAGTATGAAGGTGTGTTACTCACGTGTTGCTGTTCACTATGATTAGGCATGTTTTGTACCTTGTTTGCTATGCTGCGCAGATGCCTTTGGTTTGCCACGTGACCGGGTCGATGGTATTTGATTTGATTGATATGTGGGGTTTAACGTCCCAAAACCACTATATGATTATGAGAGACGCCGTAGTGGAGGGCTCTGAAAATTTAGACCACCTGGGGTTCTTTAACGTGCACCCAAATCTGAGCACACGGGCCTACAACATTTCCGCCTCCATCGGAAATGCAGCCGCCGCAGCCGGGATTCGAACCCGCGCCCTGCGGGTCAGCAGCCAAGTACCTTAGCCATTAGACCACCGCGGCAGGGCGGGTCGATGGTATGATATATATGTGGGTGTGTCTTTCAATAATGTTTAGTTGTGAGTTCAGCACGGTGTCGTCTCTTCCTCTGTCCTTGTCTATATATTTTGCATTGTTTTTACATCCCAAGCATTGTATACAAGCACTCAGAGCGTGCACAAGCGATGCACACCAAAGGCGAAATCACTTGTTCAAAACAAGATTAGCCTTTCAGAAAACGTTATGATCTTCCGCAAACTTGTACGATAAAACTGAGTTGTCACCAATATAAATGTTGTGGCGAGGTTACATGTACTCGGGTTTTGCACGAAAAAATCGAGCGCATGTAGACTGATGCGAGAATCAGTAGTCTGGATATCGTGGAGACTGCCGACTGAACGAACGTATGCTTTCATTGCGGTTATGATACACGCTTTCGCAGGCTACGATGTGCGCACTCCTAATGCAGACACTCTTCACATCGTCAGTACAAGGTGACTACAGCTCCGCTGCTGCTGTTACTCGCCGGAGAATTGGCGGAAAAGCAGCGCGGCTGTCTCGGTCACTCCACTACCCCCTTCTAGTTCACTGTACCTTTAGGTGCCTGCTATATGCTTATGGTGCGGGCCGACGATTTATTTTTCTTTACCTCACAATAAAGAATGTACCTTTAGGTAGGCTTTAGGTAGCAGAGTTGCGCATAGGTTCGCTATCTTGCCCGCTGAGACGTGTCATGCAGGAAAGTCGCCCCTTCTGAATGTAGGAGCCGATGCAGCTCAGCGGCTTCGTGCGGTTTCTCACTCGTTCATAATCCATCGCTGGCGCAATGACTTTCGGTTCGGAAAAAAAAAAGAGGTGGAAGACTTTAATAAATAATGGTCTTAGATATTACTGATGCTATAGGAAGATATTTTTGTTTGAGGTAGCAAACAATAAAGCCTTGACGAACATTTGTTGTGTGACAGGGGCATTATGTCGAGATTCGTGTACACTGTTCACGACAACTTGATTTCCTCACATCGCTCATTCCACATAGTTTTTCGCTGCTTCAAACTATTAAGCAAGTGGCTTGATAAAACAATTACTAAAACCATACTTCCGAGTTTTACAAGTAATGCAAGCAAACGAGAATTTTCGGCATATCTAGTATTCGTAGCTGTGGCATACTGTCATCGAGGTAACTACGCGGTACTGAGTCGCAGCACTGCATTGCGCGGTACTGAGTCACAGCACTGCATTGCACTGACACCACTAACACTGACGTTCACCAAAAAAAAATATTCGTAGCTGTGGCATACTGTCATCGTGGTAACTACGCGGCACTGAGCCACGGCACTGCGCCGCACAGACATCACTAACACTGACGTTTACTGAAAACAAACAACACAATCGCAACACCGACAAATGTAGTAATTCCGCACTCGGCTTGGGCAGCAGTGGTGGTGGCGCCAGTGGTGCGGCAGTTGCCAGCACCCGCGCAGCCATAAAGTTGGCTTTCTCTTAAATTAACGTTTTTTGCGCATGTCAGCGTACTTAGCTTATAGGGGCGCAAGTGGCGAGTTCCATCAGTGGCGCAACTATGCTACCTAAAGGTAGCATATACAGCTACTCTAATGAGATTTGGAAGCAGATCGTTGCGAGCTCCCACTGGGCTGCAGAAAAGCCGAACGCCTGCTCCAGGAGCGCTCGTACTGCGGCACGGGAGATTCCCTATAACCATTGTGCGATTGAATTAGTTTGCTTTAAAAATGCTAAAATACATGTAATTCCTTATACTTTCTGACTGGAGTTTGACATGGCCCATAATTCGGTATACCCAGGTACGTTATATTGAGGTTCGACTTTAGAAGCTGACAGCAGTCTCCACCCTGCCCGAAATTTTTTCTTAATTTTTTGTGTACATATGCATGTATCCACAAATGGTAAATTTTTCGAAGGGGGGTGGAACCAAACTCTTACTCTTGTAATAAAAATCCTGGCTATAAACATTATTTGCAGATATGCTTTTGATGGCTGATTCTCCGCTTTTCTTCATGCAACCGGATTTACTGCTTCATGGTTTTTCAGGATCTTTTTGTCCATGAACCATTAGAGCACTGGAATGACTCATTAGGAGTAATTCCTGTTCTGGTTCATGGCCAGTGTGCTCAGACAAATAAATTGTGGTTACGTGTTAGTATTCAGATTCACTTGTTTAAGGTTGTTATATAACGGAGCACCCTTATTGCAACAATGTTTCACTATATTGTCTGTTATGTGTTATTTATTTCTTGACAGGTGATCAACAATGCCTGTGCTACACAGGCGATACTGAGTGTTTTGCTTAATGTAAAGCATCCCGATATATTTCTGGGTGACACGTTGAACTCTTTCAAAGACTTCTGTCAGAGCTTTGATGCCACTGTAAGTACCTTAATTTTCTTTTCCTTTTTTTCAGTTCTCCACTCTTTCTTTCTCATTACCTTGGGAAAGGCTTTTTTTTTCTTTAGGTGCTAATCAGAACGAACTTATTGCATTATTGCTGCTGTTGGCACAGGGTGACTGTGCATTGTATCTTAGAGCTACAGGTTAAATAAAAAAAGATAGCAATGCAAATGCAAGCATAGATGAAAGTGATGCCACAGCAAAACCATGTTACATCCAAACTCTATATAAATGTACTCTTTATGTGCTTCTTGTACAGTTATGAAAGTGTAAGTATTTTACAAATTAATTTCTATCAGTCTCACCATGCATCTAGAAATGCAAGGCAGGAACATAATGTTACTTTTAGCTGTGGGACAAAGTTCCTTGCTCATACATTTTGCAAACCCCTCATTGCATAAGTGTATTCACAGACCCTTCTTTGAACATTGAAGGCCAACTGGAATGAAATTTCACCAGGGCAGAATTGGCTTAGAATGCGCAGTATACGTTGGGTAAACAGTGAAGAGAGTAAAAAATCTTGCAATCCGGCATTTCATTTATAATCGGTGCTCTAATTGTCAGTTGGCAAACGATGTAGAGCTCTAGCGGTGGACCAGGGCAAATCGAGCACAAGCAGGAACGCCAATAACAGCTCACCACCCCTCATGAGCAGACCTCCCTGCAGCCGCATCCTTTCCTTTTCTGCATGATGTGCCTCTACGAGTGGATATTTCAGAGGATTTAACTCTTTTGTAGCACAAAATGCGGGGCCGTAGGCTGCTGGAACATATGTTATGGCTGGGCAACAGCTTTCATGCTTTTTTATGCTTTTTCGAAAAGCTGCGGGTTATCGGAGTGAGGCGAAAGGAATGTGATATATTGAAGAGCGTGGTGCTTTACGCGGTGCACTTCAAAGATGAACATAAACACGACTGGTGTCTCTCCGCCCAAATACTGCTGAAACTGAAAAGAATGTTGAATCTTGATGCAGTGCCTTTAACATTCAGCCACAGCCAACACAACAGTGGGAAGCCTCGACTGAAGTTTGGAGAAGGGCCGGCAACAACATTTATTTGTATTAGACAGCTTTCATATAGTGTAAAATTCCTGTGTTAGCTCGTTAGGTTTGCTAAATTACAGCGTAACGCTACTCCAAGGGAAAAAAAAGCGATAAAACCGCACCCCGAGAAGTGCTAGACTAACTGCGCCATCTATGATCGTGTAATCAAAGCTCCAAAAGCTGATCGGCTCGCTTCTAGTTACAAGTAGTCAAAAAAGTGAAGTTTGACAAAAATGTTATCGTGCTCACTTCAACGCAATTTAAGCCCATAAACGTATTATAAGAAAACGGATTGTACTATGATATAATGTAAATTTTTTTGGTGCAGTTAGACGAGTGTTTACAACAGAAATGCTGGGATGCTTTCGGTAGACATGGGAGTGCATCAAAGCGAGCATCAGTATCGAAAGCAATGCCATCTTGTCATCTATAGTCTATCAACGAAGCAAGAATATCCACACCGTAAGCAAGCGGCGTCATTCATTGTGAACTAGAGACTTCACCAAGACAGCAGGACAAGACTGTAGGTGCGAAGCGGGCAGCTGTTATTTAGTTACGCGATTTAGTGAGCTTTTGCGATAATGTATGCTTCACGGTGCATGTTTACATTGTTCGTTATAAAGAGAAAACGGGGGTGCGGCTGCGAAGCGCATACTTCGGAACGCAGAGCAGATGATTCACCTGCTTCGATCGGTGTGTCAAACAGCTATCTACCTCACTTCCGGTCAGCTGTAATGGGGTCGTTTTTTATAGTTCCGGTATCAAAAATTGCATTGTTGGTGTTTTTCTTGGGTAACTACTTGCATCTCGAAGTTGAAATTTACCAGGCAGCATTGTCGCCAGCTAGACTGCCTATAAATGTGTTTTTGGGATGTTCACAATTTCGCTGCATTTGGATTTTAACATGTGGCATCACCACCGACTTAGACAGATGTGTCTTTTTTTTTCTCCTCAAGAACCTTGCTATTACTTAATCTTGTATTGAAAACTAGTTTGGCAGTATTGTCAGAAATTTAAAGCACATGCTAAAGGAAATATTGGTTTATTAATAGGGCATGTTTAGTTTTTTGATCGAAGGTGACACAAATGGCGAGAACCTTTCATTCTGCAAAAAAGTGTAATCAAACATGGGAACTGGTAGGGGTTGAAACCATATCCAGCGACAAGTCAAAATGGCAAAATATTTTATTCATTTACAGGATACTGCAGGCTAGCAACAGAGCTCATGCAGGAGTGATATCAAAGATGAATGAATCTTAAAGCATTTGTATAAATTGGAAAAAAAAAATAAAAGAAGGGGGAAAAAAGCGATTTTCAGTCAAAATAAGTAGTAAGCACAATGTATGTAGACATATATAATTAATATTATACTCAAACACACCCGCATACATAGTGCAATTCATAATCAGTAGCAATTTAAACACATTATTCAATTGAAAGTCATACTTAGAACAAGTATATATACACACACACCTACATATACATGCATAAATGTACCACATGACACAGCACTATTACTTAGACATATGCTTCTCAGTCGCCATGTCCTCATTTAATTCTGCCTTCTCCTCCTTTCTTGCGTTTATATTACTGCATCAATCTGAACCTCGAACCTGAGCAATCAGCCGCGCTATGCTGCCTTTCGACTTTGACAGCCGTCCACTCGGCTAGACTTCACTCATAATGCACCACATTAAGACTGGTGATTCTCTTCCCATTTACTGCCGACCATACCGTGTGTCTGCCATAGAGCGTTAGGTGATTCAGCAAGAAGTCGCCAAGATACTAGCCAAAGGGATTATTGAACCCACTTTGAGCTCCTTGGTGTCCTCCATCGTGCTCGTTAAAAAGAAAGATGACACGTGGCACTTCTGTGTTGATTACCGCCATCTGAATAGAATCACGAAAAAGGACGTTTGCCCTTTGCGCCGCATTGATGACACTCTGGATTGTCTCCACGGTGCCGGATACTTTTCTTCATTAGACCAATGTTCTGGTTATTGGCAGATTGCCGTCAGCGAAAAAGACCAAGAGAAGACTGCATTTGTAACTCCTGACAGCCTATGCGAGCTCAAGGTTATGCTGTTGGTGCTATGCAACGCCCCAGCCACGTTCAAGCGCATGATGGACAGTCTGCTACAAGGGTTCAAATGGTCAACATGCCTTGTTACCTGGACGATGTCCTTGTACATTTGAGATCCACCTCCAGCATTTGTCAGCTATTCTCGACATCTTCTGCACTGCTGGCTTTCAATTAAACTCGTCGGAGTGTCACATTCGTACGCCAGCAGATTACATTGTTGGGCCACCTTGTGGATGCATCAAGTATGCAGCCAATCCCAGAGAAAGTTCATGCAGTCACGAGTGTTCCTGTATTCCAATCAGTCATAGACGTCCAAAGTTTTGTAGGACTTTGTTCCTCTTTTAGAATGTTTGTGAAAAATTTCGCAATCATCGCTCGACCCCTCACTGACCTTCTGGGGAAAGACGTGACATTTACAGGGGGTACCGCTCAAGCTGCCGCTTTTTTTCACCTCATTACACTCCTGACGACTCCACCTATATTGGACCACTTTGACCCATCCTCTTCGAGAGAAGTCCGAACCGATGCTAGTGGTCACAGGATCAAAGTCGTCCTAGCCCAACACCAACGGGTCCATGACCGAGTTATCGCCTACGCTAGCCGCCTCCTCACACCTGCTGAGCGCAACTACTTTCATTACAGAGCATGAATGCCTTGCTTTTGTTCGGGCAGTGTCAAAGTTCTGCCCATATTTATATGGCACAAATTTCTCTGTAATAACTGATCACCATACGCTATGTTGGATTCATCACTGAAGGATCCTACTGGCCGGCTCGGGCGCTGGACTCTGCGACTGCAAAAGTATGCCTGCACGGTGGCGTACAAGTCGGGACGCCTACATCATGACGCAAACTGCCTGCCCCGCTACCCGGTCGATGAATCAAGCACCATCCCCGACATAGACACCGACAGTTACGTCTTTTCAGTTTCACAGACGACCCGTATCGGTGATGAGCAACGTCGTGATGCGTCCTTACGTGCTGTCGTCAAGCGTCTCAAATCACTATTTTCCGATCAGTCCCATTGCTCAATTGTCCTCCACGATGGTGTATTATATCACCAAAATTTTGAGCCAGATGGACCGGCCTTGCTGCTTCTCATTCCCAAACACCTTCACTCGGCAGTTCTACACAAACTTCATGATTTTCCAGCTGCTGGTCACCTTAGTGTGTCGGGAACTTGCGACCAAATACGCCGACGCTTCTTTTGGCCAGGGCTTGCACGCTCACTCAGAAGATAAGTTGCGGCTTGTGCGAAATGTCAGTGCCGCAAAACACCATCGTCGCTTCCCGCCGAACGCCTTCAACTGCCTAACATTCCATCAGAGCCGCTCTTCCCGGTTGGCTTAGACCTACTTGGCCCTTTCCCGTTGTCTTCTTCTGGCAACAGGTGGATAGCTGTGGTCACCAACTATGCCCCGATTTACTCCATCACACGAGCTCTTACAGCAAGCTGTGCCACAGATCTCGCCGTCTTCTTCCTACAAGACGGGATTTTGCAACATGGAGCTCCACGCCAGCTGCTTACAGATCGTGGCCGCATCTTTTTATTGAAGGTCATAGCCGACATTTTGCAGTCCTGTGAAACGAGGCACAAGCTCACTACGTCATACCATCCGCAGACCAATGGACTCGCAAAGCTTCTGAATTGAACTCAATTACAGGCATGCTCGCTAAGTATGTTTCTTCCAACCACTCCGACTGGGATCTCACTTTGCCGTACATGACATTTGCCTGCAATTCTTCGCGGCGTGCCACTGCCGTTTACTCTCAATTTTTATTGTTGTTTGGCCGAGAACTAACATTGCGTCTAGACACTGTCATCCTGTCCCGTGCAGTATAGACTAGCGAATATGCCATAGACGCTATCACTCGGGACGCCTATGCACTTGAAATCACCCATACTCCCCTTCTCGCCTCTCAAGAGAAGCAACAGCATTTGTATGATCAATGGCACTGCGACGTACACTTCTCGCTCAGTTCTTTGGTCCTGCTGTGGTCTTCGACCTGTGAAGTTGACTTGTTGGAAAAACTGCTTTCTTGCTACAGAGGTCCATACCAAGTCTTTCATGCGGTTACTCCTGTGACATATGAAATTGGCCATGTTGCCCCACAGGCTACCGATATTGTACATGTGGCATGCTTGAAGCCCTACCACTCTTCCTGTGACGTAGACATTTAGATGCACTGTGATGGCACTTCTGCTGCTGGGGATTATGCTACATGCATGCATATTGACATTCTATGCAGCTACGTGCGTGTGTGCTCGACAAAGAGGATGAAGGTCTGTCTCCGCTCGGCTGCTGCTTAATTGGTGATGCCACAAATGCTGCTTATAATATATTTCCTATACAGCCTCGTAGATTCTCCCTTCTCCCATGTAACGATATTATAACTGTCACATTGCTCAGGTCATTCTACATGCTTAACATACTCTCTTCAGAAGAGAGGAGGGTTTGTCATGAAGATTAAATTATGCCCATTTGTGTTGAGATATCAAATCCGCCTTTTGTGTTTTCTATTTGAAGCTACAACACGTACCTTGCTTTGCAGTAATATGTTTCAGCAGTTCATTACGGTCTCGCTGTGCTGCACATAGGCAGTCTGCGACTCCCCACAGCTGGGTACTGCATCTATGATAGGCCTAGAATGATTCCTTGCATTTCTTATATTTTAATCCACTTCTGTTTCAGCACATGTGTCTTGTTTGTGAGCAGTCTTTGTTCTGACACCTGATAGCTGCCAATATTTTTATGTTTGGGGGAAATAGGCTGGTCATCTTTGCTGTTGCTGATCAATAAGAGAGCTATATTCTTATGAAGGGTATTTCTCTTGACTTGCTAGTATGAATTCAGATGCTTTTGTTGAATTTACTCTTGCATATCCGATGTTGCTTTGGGATTGCACTTCTCCTTCCCCTCAATTGATTGAAAATTAATCTATCACACACACTTAAAGGAGCTTATTGCCTCGAAAATTCAAGGCCACAAAAATTTTAAGAATCCATCCAGTGCGAGTGGAGTAACAAAGATTTGGCGCATGCTGGAATCGCGTTCTCTTCTCTCGTCCCTATGAAAGTGCTAGAAGCTAAGCAGGGAGGGATGGCAGGGGCAAAGAAAACACGTCACCCACGCCTCGGGACCTTGAGCACTTTTGTCCAAATCGGTGATTTTTTAGCGTCTTCTGTGATATGTCGAGAGAAGAAAGAGCAATTTTTAGCTGACTTTGATAATTTATTGTTAATTCCAGGCCGTGTGCTGTACTACGATATTTAGCTCACGTGTTGTCAGGAGCCTCTACTACCGATCGGCAGCGTTTTCTGACCATGCTCAAAAAGTGTTGCAGGGCCCCGTTAACTTATAGCCTTTGCATCATTTGAGATACACTGGTTACAATATTTGCAGATGAAAGGCCTTACCCTGAGTAACTCTGATGTTATACGAGAAGTGCACAACAGCTTTTCAAGGTAAGCTGCAGATTGACAACGATTAACTCGCATAGCTTTCCTGGTAGTTTATGCTACAAAGACAGCCAGAGGGGCCGTACCTTCAAAAATTTCTGTAAATGGCAGTCAACAGTGTATATTTAATGCCTATTGACTGTGAACTTTTGTATATGAACAGGTATTGAATTCTATAATGTGCATGTGGAATTTTGCTCAGTTTGTCTCATTTGTCCTGAAGTTTAACCACCTTAGGTTGTCTAGATATTCCTCTTAGTCTTAATTCTTTCTTTCTTCATTTTTCTTTACATTCAACAGAATTTTGTGTGCTGCTGTTTCATGAAAACTCTGTTTCTTTACAATAGACAGCAGATGTTTGAGTTCGATATAAAGCAAAGTTCAAAAGATGATGATGTTTATCACTTCATTGGCTATGTACCAATTGATGGACGCCTATATGAGCTGGATGGTCTGAAGGAAGGACCCATTGACCTTGGTTAGTAATCTTTCTGTATATTTGTAATTTTCACCGATTTCTAAAAAAAATTCAGCTAGCGTGAGTGATGAGAGCGTGATAGAAAGAAACCAAGGGACACACTTTTGGTTTATTTCTTCTTTTATGCGTTTGTCCCTTATATGTAGAGAATATAAATGGGTACAAACCGGCCAAAATTTTTGTTTGTTGACCTTGGCATTTTTACAGAAGGATTTGTAGGTTTATGTTCTCATTTGCAACAGTTATGTATAAAAGATAAATGGATCATTCCAAAGCCAACTAACTGTTCTGAGCTTGGTACACAACCATCTGTGGTTTAATTTGAAGACATTTGAGGTTGTTGCCGAAAGTAGGCTTGGGGTGTTTACTATGAGCCACTAAAAATGCTCTGGGATGATTGGCACTAACTTCATCACTGCCCTCGATGTGTCACCCAACTTGCCCACTTGCTGACATGTATGGAATGTTTTCACAATTAGCTCTGAATTGTGGAGACAGCCTGGCTAATAATGCACTTGTAATAGGCGTTCTTTATTTTTCTTATCACCTAAGTGTCAAGCCTGTGAATTTGTGTGACGACTGCCAGAGATCACTTCAGTAAGCTTGAGATGCAACTAGTGGTTGTATGAAATTTTATATTTATTCCTTTAGAAGTGACCTATTTGAGTTTAATTTTTCTACGAAGTATCAGATTTTCTGATTTATGGCAAAGCATTCAGGTAAGATGAACGTTTAATATTGTCACCAATCTTGTCTCACTCAAGGAAACCTTCCGCAGAACTGCTCGTCAAGCTAGGACAAAAAGAAAAACTGCTCCAACCCAACCTCTTCGTCCTCTTCCACACGAAAACCACGCGAATTCATGCGGCATTAAAAAGCGGCTCAATCCCAACCTCTTCGTCCTCTTCCACACGAAAACCACGCGAATTCATGCGGCATTAGTCCCCCCTTTTAAAAAAGCATCGACTCGATGCTTCTAAATAAAAAGAAGAAGAAAAAAAAACCCATAATTAGAACACGCGTTGACGCAGAGAATGACAAAGTGAGTGCCAGGGAAAACAAAGAGGGCGCACAAGCACTTGGACCATGCGCGAACACAACAGCACCAGTGGAAGAGTCAAGAAAAAAAAAAACACCACATGAGATCACTGTCACGTTTGCGAAGTAACTCGCAAGCACAGAGACTATTGTGTGTAGTACGGCTTGAGTCGTACGACATGCACAGTTTCGGGCCGATGTTGTCGACGTGACGACACTGTGCCGTCCGGAAGTACTTCGTATGTAAGGTCACTCACACGTCGGATAACCTTGTATGGTCCGAAATAACGGCTCAGAAGCTTTTCAGACAAGCCTGGTCGTCGGACAGGAGTCCACACCCACACTCGTTCACCCGGGTGGTATGCGACGTTTCGACGGCGAAGGTTGTAACGTCGTGCATCTGCGTCTTGTTGGTGACCGATGTTCACGCGAGCCAGTTGACGAGCCTCTTCGGCGTACTGCGTGTATTGCTCGGCTTCTGGAGAAAGAGCATCGCTATTATCGTACGGCAGCATAGCGTCAAGCATCGTTTGTACGTTGCGTCCATAAACAAGGTGGAAAGGTGAAAATCGGGTTGTTTCCTGCATTGCCGTATTGTATGCGAACGTGACGTATGGGAGGATATCGTCCCAGGTTTTGTGCTGCACGTCCACGTACATTGACAGCATGTCCGCTATGGTCTTGTTGAGCCTTTCCGTCAGTCCATTACTTTGTGGGTGGTAAGCCGTTGTTTTTCGGTGACTCGTGCAGCTCAGTCTGAAAATGTCCTCTAGCATTTGTGCCGTAAATGATGTTCCTCTATCCGTAATCACACATGACGGCGCGCCGTGCCGGAGGACGATGTGCTGCACGAAGAACTTCGCCACTTCAGACGCCGTGCCGCGGGGTAATGCCTTTGTCTCAGCATACCGGGTCAAGTAATCGGTTGCCACTATAATCCATTTGTTACCAGTGGCCGACAAAGGGAAGGGTCCTAGAAGGTCCATTCCCACGAGGTCGAAAGGTGTCCGTGGTGGTGTAATAGGGTGGAGAAGGCCCGCAGGTTTCACGGGTGGCGTCTTGCGACGCTGGCACTCGCGGCAGCCTTGCACGTAGCGGTGTACACTGGTCGAAAGTCGTGGCCAATAGTACTGCTGGCGCACTCTGGCGAGAGTCCGCGAGTAGCCCAAGTGTCCCGACGTGGGCTCGTCATGGCACGCGAGGAGGATGTCATCCCGCATGTCGGCTGGTACAACGAGGAGGAAGGCTTTGTTGCTACCTCGAGCATTTTTCTTGTAAAGAATGCCCCTCCTTAGACAAAAGGATGACAATTCGCGAGCGATGCGCCGAGGAGTGTGAGAATTTCGGCCTTCTAAGGAATCAATAATAGGGCGCAATTCCTGATCGGCTCTCTGTCTAGACATAAAGTCAGAATCACTGAGGGCTCCGAGAAAACCATCAGCATATTCCGAGTCCATATCAGGATGTCCCACGGGTGCTCGAGAAAGTGCGTCGGCATCTTCGTGCTTGCGCCCAGACCTATACACAATCATGATGTCAAACTCTTGCAAGCGCAAACTCCACCGAGCGAGACGACCAGACGGGTCACGGAGATTGGCCAGCCAACACAGCGAATGGTGATCGGTCACCACCTTGAAGGGACGGCCGTAGAGGTAAGGTCGAAACTTTGCCGTTGCCCACACGACTGCGAGGCATTCCTTCTCTGAAGTGGAGTAGTTGGCCTCGGCTCGAGAGAGAGTACGACTGGCGTAAGCTATGACATGTTCTACGCCGTTGTGCCGTTGTACAAGGACAGCGCCAAGTCCGACGTTGCTTGCATCCGTGTGAACTTCGGTATCAGCGTCCTCATCAAAATGCGCAAGAACAGGTGCCTCTTGCATTCGCTGCCGTAACTCTGTGAAAGCTGCTTCTTGCTCTGTAGTCCAGGCAAACGGTACATCATCTCGGGTGAGTCGCGTGAGCGGTTCGGCTATCGTCGAGAAGTTGGTAATGAATCGGCGATAATAAGCACACAAGCCGAGAAAACGCCGTACCGCTTTTTTGTCTGACGGCACAGGAAAGGTGGCGACTGCTGCAGTTTTTTCTGGGTCAGGCCGCACTCCATCCGCACTCACAACATGTCCCAGAAATTTCAGCTCATCGTAGCCGAAATGGCACTTCTGGGGTTTTAGCGTGAGTTCGGCCGAACGAATAGCTTCCAGAACCATTCTTAGACGCTTCAGATGTTCTTCGAAACTCTCGGCAAAGATGACCACATCATCAAGGTATACAAGGCAGCTTTGCCACTTCAAGCCAGCGAGGACGGTATCCATCATTCGCTGGAATGTTGCGGGAGCTGAACAGAGGCCGAAAGGAAGAACTCTGAATTCATAAAGCCCATCGGGAGTTACAAACGCTGTCTTCTCTCTGTCTCGCTCATCGACCTCTATCTGCCAATAGCCGCTCTTCAAATCTATCGATGAAAATACTTCGCGTGTCGTAGCCTGTCGAGAGAATCATCAACCCGTGGAAGCGGGTAGACGTCTTTTTTGGTGACGCTATTGAGTTTCCTGTAGTCAACACAGAATCGCAGCGTTCCGTCTTTCTTCTTTACTAGAACGACTGGCGAGGACCACGGGCTGCTCGACGGTTGTATCACCCCGTCGTCAAGCATCTCCTTTACCTGCGTCTGTATAGTCTCGCGTTCTTTAGCCGAAACACGGTAAGGTTGCTGGCGGATTGGGCGAACATCATCGTCGGTAATAATTCGGTGCTTTATGAGGGGTGTTTGACCGACTCTAGATGAAGAGGCGAAGCAAGATTTAAATTCCTTCAGCAGGGTATGCAGTGCGGCCTTCTTCTCGTCCGAAAGCTTCGAACTGACGTCGATGTGGTCCAGAAACTTATCTCCATCAACCATTTCCTCGGATGCGAAGCACTCGGTGACATCCGCTACATGGTCTCCGAAGGCCACGGTGGTGCCGCGGAAAAGATGTCGGTGCTCGAAGTTAAAATTTGTGACGAGTATCTGCGACCGTCCGTCACGCACACGCAGAATGCTTCGCACTGCACACACACCTTGAAGCAGTAAAAGGGATACGTTGCTCTCGGCGACCACGTCACCGTCTTGGAGGTCTTCACAGGTGACTTCTACGAAAGCAGTCGCTCGGGGAGGCAACGTCACGCTTTCGTCGGCAACACGCAGCGCAGGTCTACGACAGCTATCAGCGCCTCGATCGGTTGCAAGTTGCGTCGAGAAAGTCACCATTCGCTCGCGGAGATTTATGATCGCGCCATTCTCTCGAAGGAAGTCCATTCCAAGGATGAGCTGACGAGAACAGTCGCGTAGTACGAGGCAGGTTACCACAAACGTTGACTCGCGTATTTCCACTCTTGCGGTACAGCGACCCAATGGAGTAATAACGTGGCCTCCAGCAGTGCGAATACGCGTCCCATTCCAAGGTGTCATCACTTTCTTAAGACTGGTTGCCAATTTTCCGCTCATAATAGAATAATCTGCACCTGTGTCCACCAATGCGCTGACCTGAAGACCGTCTATCAGCACGGGAATGTCGAGTGAGACTCGGCCACTGGGTTCAGACGCACAATCCGGCATTTCTCTCGCACTGCACTCAGACGTCAATTCAATGTCTGCAGCGTTTTGTGGAAGCGTCGATAGGAGGTCTTCCGCACTTTTAGTCCCAGCGACCTCGCCCCCGAAGGTCGCTGCCTTCAGTTTTCCCGACGAGGGCTTGGGGAACGTCCCCGTGCCATCGTACTGAGACGTGGTCCAATAGCTGCGGGTCGTCGTGGAGATGGAGACCGCGATTGACGCCGTGGGAAAGGCAGACGTTGCTGCGCGAGGTAGTCCTCAATTTCTCTTGGCCTCTGACCAACTAGGGGACGAGGCGAATGAATAGAGAAACCGCGCAGTCCAAGTTGTCGGTATGGACATTCCCGGTAGATGTGACCGGCTTCACCGCAATGGAAGCAGAGGGGTCTTCTATCCGACGTACGCCAAATATCGGACTTCCGCGGAGGGGCACGGCGACCGTCGATGTCCAAACCAGCATGCGCAGATTGAATTGAAACTGGCGGCATCGTCTGGATTGGGACTGCAGGGCTTGAGACCGGCATGGAAGTGCGCAGAGCTTCGGCATATGTGCGGTTCCCAACATCAGTGGACGCAGGAGGTGGTTCTAGATTTGTAACCGTTGGTTGAGGGCGACGGCTGTGAAGCACCTGCTGGACCTCGTCCCGAATAATATTGGTGATGCTGCTTACCTCCGGCTGTCTCGCCCCGTGTAGTTTCGCGATTTCCTCGCGGACGACGGAGCGGACGATTTCGCGAATCCACTCAATGCTGTTGCTCCCGAAGCTGGCGGAAAATTCAGTAGGTGATGCAGAATTCACTTGCCGGTTGAGTAGGGCTGACCGCTGATGAAGTACCCTCTCCATCGTAGTGGCTTCGGTCAGGAATTCTGCTACACTCTTCGGAGGACTCCGCACTAGACCAGCAAAAAGCTGCTCCTTCACGCCTCGCATCAGATAGCGTAGCTTTTTTTCTTCTGGCATTGCCGGATCCGCTCGCCTGAAAAGCTGCGTCATGTCCTCCACGTACATGGTGACGGTCTCATTAGGCATCTGGATGCGTGAATGCAATGCACGTTCAGCACGATCGCGGCGGTCGGGGCTCCGGTAGGTCTCCAGAGGCGATGCTGGAACTCGCGCCAGGATGTCAAGACATCACTTCTGTTCATGAACCACGTTCGGGCGCCGTCTTTCAAACACGCGTAGACGTTGCGGAGTTTGGCGGCTTCGTCCCAGTAGTTGATCGCTGCGACGTGTTCGAACTCGCTCAGCCAGTCGTCCACATCCTCAAACAGCTCTCCGTGAAAGGGACTAGGCATCAGCGGGTTCTGGACAGTGCAATAAATTGGTGCCGACGACGTAGGAGTTTCCATGACGCCTTGAGGCGAAGTCATAGTCGCTCTATGGATAAGCTGTGCCGGTGTCTCTGGTGGTAGGCCTCGTTGGCGGCGGCTTGTTCTGTGAACTGGCGTGTCCACGGGCACAGGGCTTGTGTTCCGGCTCCTGGATGGGCTCTTGTGCATGGGGTGCGTCGTCAGTTGTCGTACCCAGCAGCTCCACCAATCTTGTCACCAATCTTGTCTCACTCAAGGAAACCTTCCGCAGAACTGCTCGTCAAGCTAGGACAAAAAGAAAAACTGCTCCAACCCAACCTCTTCGTCCTCTTCCACACGAAAACCACGCGAATTCATGCGGCAATATACTGTCATGTGCAATGCCGAAAAGAAACACTAAAAAATGATAAAATGCTTTACAAAGATGAATGGCATGGACTTACAACTCATTAACAACTCTGATTACCATGCGGCATACCAATGGTGACTTGTTAAGGTTTGTAAAAAGCTACCCTACAGGAGGTGTTGAAATGACCACCCTAAGTGTCACACCGTTCTCAACAGTATGCAGCTCTTCTTGTATGGAATTTCATTGAATCTTACAATTTTCTTTATCTTGCTTCTTCTTTTCCGGTCTTGCAAATAAAAAAGAAAACTGAATGGGCCGTCATATTTTCATCCTTCTTTAATGTTTTGCTGCAAACCGTAATAAAATGAAATAATTTTTCACACAGCTACAGCCCAATGAAGTAGATCGATTCTTGAAGAATCACTCAGTACAACATGGTTCTAGTTAATACCAATTTCACTTCTGGCTTCTTTGTGATGTTCATTCTGCATTAGTGAAGCTCCTGTGGCTGCCACTTGCTTGACAGTGTTTCTGTTGAGCAGTGTTTCAGCATTATGTCAGTGGTTGTGTAATGTAGTTATGTTTACAGTGTATACATTTAATTACGCTACCTACTTCAGGTCCAATCCCGCAAGGCACTGACTGGATTGATACAGTCAGACCAGTCATTGAAAGCAGGATAAAAGAGTGAGTGCTGCAAGCCTTTGTAATAGCCCTGATAAGTGCTCTTATAGTATGTCTCAGATAGTTTTTTTTTTAACTGCTTTTGCACTTGGTACTATTTTCTTTTCAACACACTGTGCACACAGTAATAGCTCCCGAAGAAGCACACAGTCACTGGAAGCAGAGGGATTCTCCTGCACCAAAACACACCTAATGGGATTGTATGGGACAGGCTGGTAAGGGAGAAAGCAAAATACCTAGCATCAGAACGACTGTCCAAGAATTCTGGTGCACCTTCTGCCATCTATTTTACTTAGTATTTGAGGAGCCTCTATTCTTGGTGTAACTACCCCTTGACAACATGGCTTATTCAATACACCTCTTCAAAGACTGCTCCCTGGGTGCCGCCATAATTCTCTCTGGGCTGCACTAAATCGGCATGACCCCCCATAAATGCACTGCCGAGGTTGTGATGTCAGCTTTTTGTACTCCGGTGCAGCCCAGCATGGTGGCGTTTTTATCTCCTGTGGAAGAGGTCTATAGCTATTTGGGTCTATGGAAAACCAAAAAGGCGATTTTGTGTACAAACACAGGGCAGCAAGTATAGCTAACTTTTGCCCAACTATTCTCGGACGTGTTGTCAGAGGTGCACAATTGTCTACTAATGCAACAAAAGTCTGTTGTGGGCTAGGTTGTTATGTTAGGCTCTTGCATTGCAGCCGAAATCTCATGAACATAACCCAATGATTTTTCTTCATTAGAAAATACTAACTTTTAATTAAACCTTCACACTTTGTATGTCTACTTCAGCACCCTCAAATCCCCACTGTACTATTTTGTGGTCGGGCAACTTTCAGCACCTAGGCCACTTCATTTGTTGTTGGGGTAATGCTTTATAGAACGCTCATATTCGTGATGTGGGAAGTACTGTATTTTATTGTAACGTAAGGGGTAGACTTCCTGTGACTGTAACTTTAAGAAGTCTGTCCTTACAGTTCAGCATATGAAATAATTAATTGTGATGTACAGCCTTATAATTACACAGTAGAGACACAAATCTTGATTTTTTTTAGATATAATGAAGGGGAAATTCACTTCAACCTATGCCTTATAATTACACAGTAGAGACACAAATCTTGATTTTTTTTAGATATAATGAAGGGGAAATTCACTTCAACCTGATGGCACTTATCACGGACAGAAAGCTTCTATACCAGAAGCAGTTGGACAGCATGAATGCCCAGTTGTCTGTAAGTATTTTCAATTCTTTTAAACACCTACTTTGGATTTTATTGTATTGAGCAGCTACATTTTCTGCATGCAGCATTGTTTCATAGTGATTGTAGATACAAGTTTCAACAAGGTGTTGAAAACATAGGCTTGCCAGATCAAAATAAACATATCCTTAGTTGTCAAGGGGTCTGTAGGAAGTTCCAATATGAAAGAAAAGCTCACCTATAATTTAGAAATGTTATTTAGCAGTGCAGGACATATCAGAGTAAAAATCAGCTCATTGCTAATGCTGTATGTCGTGCTTATTCTAGTCTGGTGGGATGGAAACTGATGATGTCCAGTCTGAAATAAGCAAGCTGCACATGCTCATCCAGGAAGAAGAGAATAAGTGCAAGCGGTACAAGGTATGGTGGTGTTAGAGTGTCGCACTCTGCAGTCCTTAATCTTGCATTAGGAACTTGTTCCATGCATACTGAATGATACACCAGTGCCCCTCTATTTCATCAATGCCATCCAGATGCGCCCGATCGAGCCGTTCAACACCCTCTTCTCCAGCCCTTTCCTGCTCTCGCCCAACGCCTAGCCTTCTTGAATGCTTTGTGGTCATGCGGGAGAGAGTCCATCATGTAGTGCCTCACAACAGAAATTATGTGAAGTAACTTTTAGTTCAGTTGCATACAGATCTGCGGGGCAGCGTCGTACATTCCTCGTGTTCGTAATGTTGGCTGCCACGTTGGCTCTGTAAAAGATACGGTGTTTTGAAATAGCATGTCGCTGTTCGTGGCTCCATGCAGACAACCAATGGGGAAGCGTCACTGCAACGCTGCTGCATGCGCCGACTTTGAGAGCACTGTGATGCAGTGGGGGCGTTGCTTTGAGCCACAAAGAAGGATCCCGGAGGAACAAATCTTACAGACATATGATATTGGAGTGGGAAACACGCTTGTTGCATTTCCAGGAGAAAGCGCTCAGAAGCATGTGTGACACGACCAGCACAACCCCTCATATAGCGCTGTAACACGACCTATCTCTGGATTAATGCGAACCGACTGCTCCCGTTAAGAAGCGCACGTTTGCACTGGCATTGAAAGAAATAGAGGTGTTGCACATACAGTAGACTTCTACTAAAATGAAATCTCTTGAAATAAACTGTTGCTTTTGTTAAACAACTGCCACTAGTACGATGGGTTTTGTGCTTGAATTCTACATCTCTGTTCATATCTCGGTAACTGGAGCTCCTATTAAATGGAACAGATTTTCCTGGTCCACTCGGGTTCTGTGTAACAAGAGTTTAATGTATATCTTTTTTTTTTTCAAAATAATGAAAGAAACCAGTGTACATCATTTTATTATTAAATATACTATCATAAGCCTTTGCAGTATCTTTATGACGAAGAGCTGTAGCCACAGTTGCATCACCTTTGCTCCGAAAGCCCTAAAACTTCCAATATATTGGCAACATATGCTCCACATATATGTGTTGCCAGTGCAAATGCAATAAATGACATCAGTTACCGCATTTCACTTGTGCACGTCTTAAATTCCCTTTGGTTAACCAAGACCTTGCAATTCTAGAAAATTGTGCAAAAGTTAAAGCTGTGTGCCCATGTAATTGAAGGACACTATAGGAGAGACTTCAAACGTAACTCTCTTAAACGAAATTGCTGCTTAAATAAAACAACTGCCTCTAATATGATGGGTTTTGTACTTGAATATGATAACTGTTCATCTCTCAGTAGACAAAACTTCTAAATGAAACACATTTTCCTGATCCCTTCAGGTTTCATTTAAAAGGAGTCTACTGTATAGAGAACCGTCACATCAGTTTACATTGATGAAGTATGCATTCGAAACTTTATTAGCTAATGTTGCAGTTAGAAAATGCATAAAAATAACGATGACAACTTTGGAGTACTACAGTAAAATCACACTGCTACATTTTCCTAGCTTTTATTTACCTTGCGACATCATTCTTTGATTTGTATGTAGCAATGTGTATTATATTGGCATGTTTTACATTTCCCTTCTCGTCTGTTATGTCCAAAAACTGTACAGACACCTAATTTGGCCGCTTCATGGCATAGCTGGAAACTGCTAAAGCACAATGTACGGTAAAGACAGCAAAAGACGGCGAAGCTGCCCGTCATGTCTTACCAGCACTTCGCAAGGTGGCTAACAGCCGGTTAAGTCTATTACTAAAAGGAGCACATGCCATTTATTTGCACGGTGACAAACAGCTGGTAAAAAGTCTATTACTAAAACGAACATATGCACATATGCTATTGTAGCAGAGAAAATTTTATTGAAAGATTTCAGACATAACCAGAACCGGAACTTCCAAGATGATCTCACCCATCATTCATTCGTGTATTTTCTCTGTGTTATGCTTCCATTCATAGCACAATTTTTTTTCTTTGGATGAAGTACAAGTTCCATTTACCAATAAAACTAAATATATGACTAATTCTTTGAAGGTAAATAACAAATATACGCCGCCGCAGACAAGTCCCAAACGGCTGCTTTACAGCACCACCTGTATAAATCTTATGCTTACAGCCCCACCTGTAGAAAAATGCGCCTATTTTTTAACTCTTTGCCCACAAAATGCTATCACCCAGCGGGGATGCAGAGAACTTTTTCTTATGCCGCTGACCATCGGTTTGCGTTCCAAGATTTGTTTATGCTGGCATATGTTATCAGTGTCACTTGCACATCCAAGCCTGTGTGCACGCACAGCGGTTAACATGGTTTTGTGCTGCAGGCAGCTTCCATTGCCTACACTCGCTTATTGCATCGCATGTTCAGCTGTTCACAGCTGACAGTTGGTATGTGAATGATGTAGCCATATGCAAATGATGCTACAGTGCTTGCATGTTTTCAGTCTTGAAAATTGGGAAAATTGATGGCCTTTTGCTGGGAATAACATGAAGGGTCATCAGAAATAGTTTGCCACTCGGTGAGTTTTCTCACAGATACAGGACCACAAGGTTTTCTTGCATAAGCTCCTATTCACAGTGATGACGATAAGGGCATGTGCACCAGTTTCTCTGCTTTGAGTGTATCAAGCAACAATTCCTTCAATTGACTTTTGCCCATTTCAAATCAAAATTCTAAATCAAAATGAAATTCAATGGATGTCAGCCACTGAGATGAATAACCAATCAGTTCAAAATCAGGACCTGAGTGAAAAGCATCATCTGAATGTCTAGTGGGACTGGTAGAAAAGTGACAGCAATTAGGCAAAGCATTTCTTTAAGCCTCTAGAACATACTCTTTCGTACATGTTATAGAAACCTTCTCCACACTGATGCACATGAAGAAATGGGACTGACATTAGTTTTATGTGACCCAGATTGATTTCCATGTAATTGTGACAATACCACAACAGTCAAGTGTTTTTGGGCACATATTCGCCAAATAAATAGCTGCACAACTGACCTCAGGAAATTCACCCTGACAGCACTGAAAATAAAGAAAAAAAGTTCACTCACACTAGATGCGGAAGAAATCAATGACAGAAAAAAAATCTGACGAGTGTTAACTTCAGACTTAAGTTTATTCTCGCAAATTCACGCCCATATGTCAATGAACCCACATCAAAAATGTACTAACATGACAGAAATAAATGCAAACAGTGCGACATCTATAGTAGCTCTGCTATTTTGCATTTGTTTTCAACTGATTGTAGCTTGGATGGCAACAAAAAGTCACTATAGTCATCCACGATATAAGCAGAGACCAGCCATCAGGGACCACAAAACAAGATAAAAACAGCGTGCTGTGCTATTAAAATTTTAAAGTGCGAAGCTCCTTAAGCTCGCATAATGTTTGTTTTTACCGTTGGCTGTCACAACAGCTGCAATGCCTCTTTGACACTCTCACGGCAAGTGCATTGATCAAGACCATGACGCCGTGTGCAGAACCAGTGATAAAGCGCACGCGGCGCCAATACCAACCACATACAGGTGTTGCGCTGCGACAGGGGTGCTCCGAAACTTTCTCTGGGCAGGTGCATGACATGCGCAAAACCATCAGCAGAGTGCATGCGGTGCACATAACGAACGAGTGCAAATTTTGCGCCGTCGGCGTGCCACTCGTACCTACACCGCGCATAGAAGCTGTGTACAGCACACTGCATTGCTCGGAAGCCGCTTGTACTTAGGCCGTGCAGAGCCAGCGCATGGATCAATAGCGCTATACTTAAGATGTCGTTTGTGAGTGACTGAACTAAGCTATATGGACAGTGTGGGGGTCAGTGATGTTTAGTAAATGTTTTATAAACCTTTACCCTAAGGAGTAGCTTTTCAAGCTCCTGTACTGCCTTCTACTGTGCTTAAGCTGTACCAAATAAAAGCATTGTTTATGCCAATGCATGCTTTATACATAGTTTTATGTGGTTACTCTATGGTTTCATGCACTTATCCAGATGGAGAACATCAGACGGAAGCACAACTATTTGCCACTTATCATGGAGATTCTGAAAATCCTTTCGGAAGAGAAGAAGCTTGTGCCTCTAGTAGAAAAGGTTGGTGAGTGGTAGGCCTCAGAAAAATTGTAATGAGGTGCACTTCCTTGTTATGCTTGCGTTTTCCTTACATGCTGTCCCAAATTGGGTAACTCATGGCTGAGTGTGGGGATTTGGTAATGTGGCTAAACGAATTGGTTGCGTACTGGTGATTTAGTGTGCGAATTATAGAGTGAGTAAGCATGCGTTGTGTAGGTGTTGCTTATACAAATACTTTAATAGATGTAGAACAAAAAGGCAATACAGGTGCGCAGTGCTGTGTGTATGTGTGGCATGTGCATGCACACACACATGCACCGATAAGTTGGTGGTGATCTCTTAGCTCGTGTCAGTCAGCTGGCGTAACTTATCGACCTACTACTGCAGCAGAGCTGACCAAGTCATGGCTGCCGCTGATTTCTTGCACAAAAACCACGATTGAGAGCAGCAGGGTCATGGTGCACAAACGCGCTTGTCACCCGTTTTGTCTTTTTGTATTTCGCTGACTTTCTTAGCACTTTCATGAATAAAACTTTCAAGTTGAACCCACTTAAGCCATGTACACACTGAAAGCTAAATGAGCTAGAATGCAGGGATATTAACTAGCAGCAGAAAGACAGGCGATGAGGCATTTGCTCGCACAGATGAGTGCCCACTCGCCGGTGTAGCTTTCAAAAAAAAAAAAAAAATCAAATGCAACAACAAAGAAATGTGGACACCACGACGTACACAGTGCGGCGATTCATGTAGAGCATGGCTACTTTGTGCCCCATGTTTCAAACAGTAGGCATCGTTATTATCATTCAAACTATTCGAGAAACACCTTTTCGATGTATTTTTCAGTGTTCGCTTTCACGTTTTGTTACCCATTGCGTGTGTCAGTACACGTATCTGCCACTAGTGGGAGACGACAGCGGCTGATGTGTTCCCGGCAACCGGGACCTTCGACTAATCCAAAGCCCGAGTATCGTCTGTGCCATTAGTGTGCGCTGAGACATTGCCTTAATTGCCTGAGGCATTAATTGCTGAGACATTGCCTTTTGTCTGTGACATTGCCTTTAATGAAGTCGGAAGAACAAGCCTACGTGCCCTTAACAGAAATTCAGTTTTCTCTCGTGATCAAAACAGAACGTTTTAACTAGCATATAAAGTTAGTTCGGGCTTGCAGACTGCATCCTGGCATGGTAAAGCTTTGCCCGACTTCCGATATTTTATGCGAATGAAATTATTCTGATGAAGTACTCTGAACACAAGCAGCTGTGGCCAACAACAAACGCTAAAACCACGCAAGATCAAGCTAAACAGGATGTTTCCTGGGGTGGTTTTCTGATGAACGCACAATGTTGCCAGAGACCGGCAGGCTCTGGCGAAACAGTCTGTTAAACTTTTTGAATGTCATTATAATAGTTAATTATAAAAAATTTAATATTTCACAACCTGAACTACTCTTGGAATTTCCCTCAGAGGTTCAATTAATAGATCTTAAATAAACTGTATCATGTTCTAGGTGACTACATTTATTACTCAGGTCCCTTGTTGGTACATCTGTGGCATTGCTTCACCCTCGTGTGTTTCATTTCATGATGGCAAAAATGCACCTACAACCCCATTGCTCATACCTGCAATGTTCAGTCTTAGACACTCATCTTGTGGACTTGCGTCTATGGCTGGTCATTCAAGGGATGCTGACTCAGAAGTTTGCAGTTGTCGTTTTTGTGCGTCACTTGAAAGGTCAAGCCTTCAAGAGCCTAGAAAGTGTGCTGTTAACCGTGAATGCACCCCACAATAGCAATTACAGTATGTTCTTGAAAGCTTATTTTGCTTTCGACTGTAGCCTGACATCGCAACACTGTATGAGCTTCACATCAAGCTAGAGCTGTTGTAAGTAGGTGTGCAATAGAAAAAATGAGAAATATCAAAATAAAGCGTCTTAATATTTCTCGATCATCATACATGATCAGAGCCGTCCATGGTTGTCGGCAGGCTTTTTTTTCTTGGGGGGTGTAAATCAGTGTTGCATCGAGGTTGGGGGGAGGGAGCAAGCACTGGTGTATCTTGGGTAAAGGCAAGTGCTGGTGAGACTTGAGAGGGGGCAAGGGCCCCTTTTGCACCCCCCTGCCGACGCCCATGGAGCAGGCTCTACCTACAGTTGGTTTGTATGGCAGAGTAAACTCCCTTCTGAAAAATGGTGTCAGTACTTCTTTTAGTAAAAATGGTCTGCACACCCATATAAGGGCTATCAGTGGTACTTCCATTCACGAACTCGTGGGATGGGTACAGATATATATAATATTACAAAATACCGATAGTTGTGAACAGCTTTATAGGCATGTTGTAGTCTCATTAAATGGCAACAATTTACGGCAAATACTTGGCCATGTCGCAATGTGAAAAGGTTCTTTGCCTCAGACATTGTTTCAATTAAACGTATTCTGTTGAAATGAGCTGGGCAGCTTACATATGGCACTTCATGTGGCATCAGTAGCGATGCCACATGAAGTCGTGTCTATATGAAGACCGGAAAAAACTGCCGTGCTAGTACCAAAAATATGAAAGGGCATATGCATCACTGACAGCACAACTATGAAGAGCAAGGAAGTAAAAGTCATTTCATGCTCCTGTTATATTTCATGATCATACAAAGGCTTTGTATTGAATTTTTTTTTGTTGAGAGTAATAAGTTTCTGGAAAGACCTCTACATTGGTAAATAATTTTAATGCCATTGCTTGTGGTAAAAAGTGCTCCATGCTACTAAGTAAACTTTCATATTTCAGAAGAGTTCCTGCAACATTCAGTATTGCACCTGTGTCCGTCATGTTAGGTACTACAAAAGGTGCTGTGCAGTTTGAAGAATATAGGCATTGCAACAGTTTTTTTTCACAAAAGTTCTTGTGTGTCCTGTGCACACATTGTCTGCATATAACTAATAATATAGATGCCCACAATGGGCCAAGCACAAACTGGCATTTTAGAACCAGCTCGGAAGTCATACGGTTACGAAATTTGATTTGTTAAAAAATCACTTTCTGGTGACAAAGGTTCTCAAGGAGGCATATTGCAAAAATATTCAGGTTCGTAAAAGGTATATTGCTAAAATTGCCCCTTAAAAATTGATTTGCTTCCTTTGACTTCTCATCAATTTTTTCGTGCTTTGATTTTTACCTTCCCTGTTTTTATTTTCAGGCAAGGGAAAAAGTCCTAGAAAAGAAGAAACAAGGTGAAAAATTGAAGTAAAGATTACTTCCTTAGCTATGAATATAAAAGTCTTTTTTGCTGTCTGTCTCTCTCACCTACTTTCACCCCTTTTAATTCCACCCACTAGACCCATCCACTTTCAACACCTTTCAATTCCATTCCATTCAGTTTTCATTATATATACAGTGGTTTGAACATAATTTATGAAACCCATAAGGGAGCATGGTATGGAGTTGTTGTAGGAAGGGCATGACAGTGAAAGGAGAGGTCACTTGTGAGTTAACCACAACATGAAGTGTCGAGCTGAGATACCTTTCTCCCCCATTAGTAAAACAAGTGGATGCACAGCACCACAGCAGATTCAACATGGTAGCTTCTGCATCGGATGTAGATGCTCCAAACCTTCTGAAACATTGCTACTTTCCACTGCGCCCTGGCAGCAACGGGTAGAGAGCAGTAGAGGCCACACATAAATGAGAGTATTCAGCTGCCAGTGCCAGTGGTGAAAAAAAAAAAAGTCTGGTAGGCATCATCTTAACCGACCTGCATATTGGCCTTGTCTCATTGTCTACTCTGAGCTTTTTAGCTATGAAAAGGACACTTCTCTAGCTAGTGCTGCGCCTGTGCTACAGGTTTTGTGCTGGCCTGCTTTGTGCTACGATACCTGCACTTGAAGCCTCAAGTACTTATACCGAGATACATTTGCCTTTGACATAACAGGATATTCTTGAAGTACTTCAGCGAGAAAACAAAAGGTATTCTGGAATGCAGCACTAGGGTACAATACAGAATACTCGATAATTCAAACTGATAATTCATACGTTCGAATAATTCAAAGTTAATTTATTTTGGTTGGCCCTATATTCTTTCAATGTGTCAAAAGCCTCTTAATTCAAACTCCATCATTTGGTTGATTCATGCTTTTTGCATATTCACACCATAAAACAGCTGCTGATATCATTTAAAAATTTGTGTGTTTATATAATCCTAACAGTATAAAAATTAAAAATAAGCACCGGTAGCCTTCAAGGACAAAAACTTTGCAAGCAAACAAATGTTTAAAACGAAGCACATGCAGGGTAAACTGTGATGCTTCTCAACTGGTAAAGAGAGCTTTGTGGTGAAGGCCTATTGCAGTGTAGTGAATACCTATAGTAATGAAGCAATTGGCAATTCACAATTTCTCTGTAAGGTTTAATCAGCAGTAAATGGCCAATAAATTATGGACACCTCTGCTTTCTGTGTAATGCATGCAGTTAGGGATTAAAAACACCTAAAAAATTTTAAACGTGATAAAATCAATGCCTAATTATAATGTGTGGCGTCACCTCACCGAGAGTCATCTATCTGAGAACATCTGATAATTAAACTTTTTGATAATTTAAACTAAATTCAGAGGTCCCTTCGAGTTTGAATTAACAAGAGTCAGCTGTTCCAAAATACTTGTTTGATTTCGGGAACACTGCTTCTCAGCACAGACAATCATTATAGGCAGGGTAATATTGCGATTAATGTTTCACCACCTTTAAATTTGTAAGCTGAGCAATATCGCTCAAACCGCTAACAATCACCAGTGAATTGAGAAAAAGCGCACATTTATTCTAGACACAAATGTCCATTACCGAGATGGTAGTTGTGCTAACTGCACTTGAGCTACTGCAGCTTTTCAAATAGGCTGTCATTTAGACAATGTTGGTTCGGCCTTAACACAAAAATCTCAATCAATGACTGGCCACCGGAAAAAAATAGGGGTGAAGCACCTGCTTTGACATGCTGCGAAATTCGTTTGCAAAGCATGACTGCCTCCATGATTTTGCCGTTGCAACGTCGGGCTCTTTGCCACATAGGCCATTCTGTGCATGTAGAAACCTTAGCTGCCTCCTAATCTGTCTGTGACCACTGGCCTGTCTTTGCTTGGCATTCCACGAAAGCCTTCTTTTCCCCATTAGAAACATGTTCGTTTGTTTTCACCAAAAAAAGAACCTAAACTACCTGTGCCCTGTACTGTATTGTGCTACAATCATACATATGAGTATTTCACTACTGAGATAGATACGTTTTGCAAATGTGTCTAAATACACGAATGTGGACACGCAGAAGTATTTTCAAGATATCGTGATGTCGCCCAGCCCTGTACGATACTGCTGGTCCAGTCAAAAATGAATTTCCATTTACACTCAGGATTGTCTGAAACACAGTGCTTTTAATCACATGACACATTACAAATTTGTGACTAGAACAGGTGAAAATCACACAACTTGACACCTAAAACATCACACTTTCTTGGCGTCTTCTACAGTACATACAAGGTTTCATGTTCTCCGTCATAAAGTAGCTGTACTCTCATGTGACTTTGCTTATACGGAAAAAAAAAGCATATACATGGTATACTATTTTTCAGTATTCATTCTTTATACAACGCTCGCTCAATAAGCTGTACAATACGAAATTATGCTATTCTGCAACAAACAGGGGGTGCATTTACAAATTTTTGCATAAAATCAAACCTTTGTATTCTAAAATTAATCAGTAAATTATTGAAACTTTAAGTGTTATTTGACATGCATCATTGCCACCACTTGTATTGACAAGATTTGGACCCAATAATTTTAATGGATACGAATAAAGTTTGCTAAGGTGTGAATAAATGTGATAAGATTTAATGAGTTCATTAAAAAAATTTTTTTAACTGTAACCTCATTTAGTAGAGTGCGTGTCATACATCTTTAACCCTCATTATGAAAACATAACTTCTGTGTATAAACTGTCCCAAACTGGCCAGCTTTTCTAGCCACACTACTCATTTTGGTTTTAAATGACTTAATTTTTAATAAATAAAACACACTATACTCGGTAAATGAAGATCTCTTAATTGCTTAAATGGAACTGCCTCTTGTATAAGGTTTCATACTTGAATTCTGCACCCCTGTTCATCTCGTAAACTCCTGCTAAATGCAACATGGTTTCCTGGTCCCTTCAAGTTCCATTTAACTAAGAGTCCATTGTACATAAAATATTCTATGTTATGCATTTATAATTGTTAGTAAGTGCATTTTATGCAAGCATTTTTTATGGAAGGGGAGGAAAATATATAAACATGCTAATAGTAATATCCTGTACTAGAAACTTCACCTTCAGCACATTCAGCACTGCATATAACTTTCGACCTTTTCATTTAAAATACGTAAAAACTATGTGTTGGCACATGATAGGAACTGGTTTGTTACTACTCAACGGAAGAGTGCCGAGAATTTTCATACAAGCAAATGAAAACATCCAGTGGAGGTACATACATTGATTGCACTTTATATTTGCATTTACCCCAGTAAATTTTTTTTGGAAGAGATACTGAAAAGAAGCTCTAAACCAGTTTGGGTCATTTTCTTCACTTATAGTGGAGAAAATGAACACTGAAGTGCATCCTGATGCAGTATGAATATATGATTAATTCATTACAGTAATATGAACTTCAAGCTATTTTACTCAATTTGTCCATTTGAGCACCAGAAAAAAATTTCGCACCTTGCAGTGTAAAATACAGTTAATCCCTTCTATGTCATTAAATCAATAACTGCACAGGAAAAGTGTGCTCAAAATTCATGTGCTCACGAAAAGTTGTAGCAAACTTTAATGAGGTGTCATTACAGTTCTGTTTTGGTGTATTTTGTGGGCTGCCAAGCACATTCACTTTTTGCAACAATGTCGGTTCACGAATACAGTGTGCTCGTCATAGCGCAATGAGATATGGTCTTAGTCGCATAACAGTAACCGCAACTGCAGATTACTGATAAGCGCTCGAATTGCAGCAGATTACCTACTGTGTATCTAGAGAGAGAAAAAAGCCACTCGTACTTTTAGTCAATAAAAGTGCACTTCACTACGGTCTCAAAAAATTTTAAAGCTAACTAAACCATTGGCATGGTCTACACTAGTTTATATCAATGCTGCAGTTGCTACATTTGTGACCAGCCTTGCTACTGGATCATGCAGCTAAGTTTCCAATACATTCCTGGCATTTCAAAGCTTCCAAAGATCAGGACATTTCTTTGTAATTTTGCCACATACAAATGCTGTGGAAGACAATAATCTCACGGCAGTGCCCAAACAAACTGCTTACGATACACTTGTGCACACATTCACAAACACAGATGGTGGCCTGGGAACTATGACAAACATTATGAATTTGGCAGTTTAGTATGTTTGATGCATATTACTTGTATGCATCTAAGTCTCCACTATTAACTGTAGCTTAAATAAAAATCGAACATCCTGTGTTGGCTTATGTTTATGAACTGATGCTTAAAGAATGCCTATTGCACCCCGGTGGCCTTCACAAGCTGCACAGAGCACTACCTACCAAAGCACCCTTTTCAAGACTCCAATGATGTGTTAAATGAACAAGCCTTACAGAACAAGAGTGGCATACTGTGCAGAAAGGGCAAGGGATGAAGGGAATATTGAAAATCTTGAGTAGCTACACTGTAATGTCACAAATTAGAGCATACCTGAGAAACTGCTTTTGGCTGACTAAGAGTGTGTGTGTGCATGTGTTCTGCTGGTCACACAAGTTCTGTTTCAGATGTCTTGTTAAAGGACACCAAATGATTGAAATTTCCAAAACCCTATGCTCCTGCATGTCTCATAATCATATGGTTTTGGCACGTTAGACTCCAAATATTATTATTATTATTGCAGATATTTCGCAGGAAGTTTCAGGGAGGCCCAATCATGAAACTATTGCTTTAATGTAAAGCACATTGACAAGGTCATGGACATAGTCACAGTGCTCTCGAGATCTGCTTGGTGAGTAAGCAGTAAGGGTCAAATTACTTCCAAAGTTTTATCTGGATAGAGCTAAGTGATGCTTATGTTTAAAATGTCCCTTTGCTTAGCAAAATATTCCAGGGCCCTTTTGATTGAGCCTTTTATTATAGTACAAGTTTATTTGAAACAGATACCTTCAAGGTTAAACCCCACACATCAATCAGATTCCTTAAGGATTCTTAAGCGATTTCTCTCTGGGATTGCTTGCATATATGCAAAGCGACTTCTACTATATTCTTATTTTAAAATTTTTCAAACCACTATGACGCACACAGAATGACTACGTGAAGTGTTTGCATGTCGTAAGATTTCCAAAAGCTTGTTAATACTCATGCGAACACCTTCTAAAGGAAGAAGCACGTTATCAGCAGAATGGGAACCACTTCAAAATTTATTTTTAAAACCACTGCTCCACTTCAGAAGTAATGTTCTTTGTAAGCTACTCTATGCTACTTATGCTACTCTATGCTACTTATATATTTAGCATTAAAAATTGCAGCGCATTGCAAAAGAAAGTGTCATGTGTGTGATGTATATTGTTTTTTATACTTCTCATTTAGTAATAGCAGCACTTTCATGTATTGTATCACATACTCGCATCAGTGAACAAGCACTTTCAACTGCTAAGTCTTATTGTGAAGCATCTAGTAAGATATGTCTGTCCCCCGCCTATAAGATATGAACCTGTTGCATGTGTGATGCCTCTCAGGGGGACAGCATGCAGTAGAGCAGAAAATGGCATTCAGGGTATTGCATCACTACAGCTGATGCCCCAGAAATCAATAATACACATTACTGTAATGAACTTATCTTGAATGCACAAGCTTTCAATTCTGTGCATTGGCAACTGGTGATCTTATCACTATTTGTAATCTGTGTTCAACACTAAGAATTCTTTTGTGTTTTGATAAGTTTACATTCCCTGCTGTCATAAAAAAAAAGACTGGCCATTCTTGTTCATTTAGTTCATGCCACCTGTTCACTGGGCTCAAGCATACATCACCCACTCACCTTTAACATCACACAGGTGTGCCAATCGATTCACATCGAACCGACATGGCTGCTAACACTTGTGTCAACTTGGCATGTCTTTCACAGGATGCCACAGAGGCACCGCGTGCACCCCACAGAAATAGCAAATGAAACTCAGTCCTAAAGAGGTCCAGCATAATATCATCTAACTTGACATTCTCAAACACAATCTCGCCGTTTCGCCGGTATGTCGGAAGCTGTTGAGTCACCAGTCGCTGTTGTTCCAGGTGTGAAAGCAACAACTGCAGGCCATAATCAGCCGTTGAGTTCTCCCAAGGAAGCAGAAGCAGCTCTGAACTAACGTCCTTGCGTTGGGAAGATGCTGTAGATGAATTTACGAGCAGGCCTTCAAAGCTATGCTCCAGGATGAGTAATATAGAAAGTAGGTAGGGCAGACATGTGTTGGGTGCTTGAGGGTTGCTACATTCCTGCATATTCTTCAGGGCTGGCCGCAGTTTAGTCTCGTAGGCAAGCGCCGTGTCTGTATGTCGTTGGCGCAATGCCAGCCATGTGGTCTTCAGCCTAGAGATCTGAGAAGCAGGAGATAAGTGGCCAGTCAAGTGAGCATTTGCAAAGTAAAGAAAACAGTTGAAGGAGCAATACAAAACTTGTTGCAAGATAGGGTTGCCTGTTGCATTCTTCAAAGAAATATTAAATTTTATATATACTTCAGAGAAGCCAAAAATCTAAAATGGAAAATGCAGGCTTGTCCATTTTACATCAGAGTCTGACAGCTTAAGGCATCTTACTAAAAAAATTATTGAAGCATCTAGATTATAACAGCTGCAACTTTTACTGTTCACATGCCCAAGAATATATGCATTCCTTGGTTGTTTAGTCTGACCTCCTTGTCCCTATTTTTCTCCTCTCCCCCTCCTTGGTTGTTTCTTTACAGGGGCCCTGCAACACTTTTTAAAGCTTCATTAATTTAATTGATTGCTTCACAAGTCGACTACCATAGAAATTTTTAGAATCTGTGAAGTACGAGCGGAGTTACAGGTGTTTGTTACATGCTTTAAGGTCTTAAGGTCAAGTGTCAGAACAAAAATTTTAAAAAGCATTAAGCATGACAGATTATTAGTCAACATTATAAAACACATCTTTTAGGCCCATGTTAGCATTATAAAGCAAGATGTATATTTTTTCAAATTTTCACAATTAAAGATTTCATTAATAGTGGGCCGTTCATGACCACTACTAAATCAAATGAAGATTCAGCCCGTGCAATGAACCAAAATGAATAAGATCAGATGAATATTAAAAGGATAGTAATTAAATATCCAAAAAATTATAAACTGCAGACACCTTCATATAAAAGGCAGCTATATTAAACCTCGTGGGACAATTCCGATTCTTGAGGTTTATTGCACACCCACTGATGTAATAAGGAAGAAACTGCTTAAGGTATGCGGACATTTGGCCTAGAATCTTGAGCAGTCTTTCTCTTCTTTTGTACCAGCGATTGCGCTCAAAGCTACGCAGTGGGACGTTGGGGACAGAAGCTATGTCCGTTCGTTCATGCATGTCATAACCTTGAGCACTTTTTCTTTGTTCGAATGTGCAGCTTACTTTCAGTGGGATAGTGAAAGTGCACATAATAATACTCCAAGTTTAATGTGCCGAAACCATGATACGATTATAATGCAAGCCATAGTAGAGGGCTCTGGAAATTTCGACCATCTGGTGCTCTTTAACATGCACTGACATCACACAGTGCACATGCCTCTAGCGTTTTGCTTCCATCGAAATGCAACTTCTGTGGCTGGGATCCAACCCAAGCACTGTAACACTGCACCACACCATCAAGGTGGGCTGCAAGTGCTCATAAATTCTGTCCTTTGTGAATTAAAACATAGCCAATACTCAAATCACAAATGGAAAGTGCTCAGAACAACATAATGCTGCCTTTGCCTAAGTGATAAACCCCCCTGTTTTTAAATGCGCTCAGGTTTTTGGTTAGCCTTAACTCACTCCCAGCAGCAATGGGATGGGAGCACCAATGATGCAGTACTCCTTTCGCTGGCTAGCTCCTAACATGCACTTTGGTTTGCATACTTTCCGGCAAGCAGTTAAGCAGTCTGCTAATTATCACCATAGCATTTTTATTCTTTTTACCGGTATACGAGCTGGATTGAACATCCAAATCACAAAGTTGAAACACAAACAGCAATTCTTAGAAAACTCTCAATGAACATTTGCACCGTAAGTTCCAACTTTCCTGGCTGAGTTGCAACTGTGAGCATCTTGCCCTAGATGCCTGCAAATTCGACATACATGCTGCATCTGTGTCAACTCGTGTGTATGCATGATTTGGCAAGTCATAATAAACTGATAAAGGGTTATGATCACTTCAAGAAAACTAGTAAGATTTCATAATGACCCTTGTCATGTTCATAATTGTGTGTTTTTCTTTTTTTTTTTTTGCAGCTGGCTGTCGTTGCACTCCACGGTGGTGGTTACTGCTGGGATCACTCACTCAGCAAGTCATCAGAACTAGAGGGAAATCTTGTATCCTTATGTACTTCACGAGTCTCTGTTACAGCCACTTTTTTGTGTTTCAGCAACTCTCACTATTCTTTATTCAGCTTTAAGCACGTTTGCAGTTCCACTTATATTTGTTTCAACTACTAAGATTGTCAGGCTTTCAGTTCATTTTCTGCCAAATTTTCAACTCAAATATGTCTTGAATATCAGTTTCAGGTCAATCAATATATCACACTGAAAAAAGAAGAGACAGGACTAGAACCTAATGCAGCTTGACAGGGGCCCTGCCCCCTTTGACCAATGGCAGGACATTGCAGTAATATAAAGAATAAGCACAATGCACTTGAAACAAAATAATTTACGAGACAAAATACAATTTCAATCAAAAAGAAGAAAGTATGTATGCAAAAATATTTATAAATGCAGTTAAAAACGCCAATTAATATCTAGAATGAATAGTACCATGATTCTTCCGCAGAAAATTATTTTTGTAATAGAGCCCTATCATCAGCATTTGACAATTATGAATTAGTAAGGCTCTACAAGCAAGCCACAAATTCAGTGCAACATTACTCAGAGGATGATCATTGAGAGATACATGAATATACTAGCCAATATCAATGTCTATATATGTATTTTAAGTGCGAATGCATTTCTTAGTCTGGCTAGGTCAGGCATCTGGCATTTTCTGTGCTCCGGCAAGTGTTATCTCTCCGCTCTCACTTCCTCTCCCATAGCAACAGCTGGGGGCGTGTGCACTTATCCTTGCCCCTAGTAACCAGAGCATGTGAAGTGTAAGAGAGAATAAGTTCACTGCTTCACCGCTCTTTCTCTCCCCCCTGCGCCACACTCTCCCATCTGCTCGCACCTCACTCTCGACAATTCGCTGTCTGGGTGCCTCTCCAGAACATCCAAAAATGTGTGCTCGAGACGCCGCAGTGAAACGCCGAGCCGAGAACGCTGACGCGCCACTTTAACGGTAACGGCAACGGTACCCTCTCTCGGCGCAAGAAATGCATTCGCATTTCCTCACGATTGTCTTCTGGGGAGGTGGGGTCATTTTTTATTTCTTGTTTTTACTTATTCGATTTATTGATGTTTCATTATGCTGTAATTGTGCCATTTATGTACATGCCTGAATATGTAGATAGGCCTGTGTTTGTGTTTTTTTCTTTCTTGCAACTTTCCGCTGTCGCTGTACTTGTAGTGCCAGGAGCGTAGTCAGGCATGTATAAACACGCCTTTTGCTCCAGCACATTTCATGTATTGTCAAAATTGCAAACTTCAATAAAAGCACCAGAAAAAAAGCAAAGCTATGATCTGTGCAGTGAATAAGCAATAAAAAAGTAAAAATAAAAAATACCTGTGACATGGCAAGTCCTTGCATGATTCCTGTGAAACCATAGAGGTTGCCTAAAGCTGTCTTTGTGTCACCAGCCACCTGAATCCACTTGTTGAGCAGCTCTACACGCTCCACATCATCGGCACACATCAAGAGCGTGGATGCAACAAAGAGTTTTAGGCACTCAGTCCTGAAGAAAAAACAAAAAACTGTTGTGTTTATTTTACTCAAACGTTAAGCGATTTTTACGTAGTAGACAACATCTATAACAGGTTAAATAGAGAATTGTAACAGCCATATTATTTGATGAAGTGTGAGAAATCAAAGACATTAAAGAAGTGGGACATGTGGAATTTGCTAATCCAGCATATTCTTTTGTAGTATGGTCACTGAGTACTGTTAAATCAAGATCAATATTTGTACCAATGTCCTCCTATCAAAAAGTATATTTAAAAGGCATGAAAGTCTCTTGCAGAGAAGAATACAGTACTTATATCACCACAACAGCTAAAGATCTAAATAACAGCTTTTTTACTTTTTTTTTTCTCTGGGCAATTATTCTCCCCCTCTGCAAAGATGATGCTTCAGGTAATGCCTAAGCTGAAGGCGGCGGCAAAGCTCCTAATGTCAATATATTAAATGGGTTATTTCTCCACATAACAGAAGGCATACTAGGAATGTCACTAGCCGGTGCTGGTCAAGGGAGTTAAAGCAAGCTTCTTCTGTAAGAAACACAGGTTATTTTGTTACAACACTTCCTTTCATAATTTAATCTGCTTATATCACTGCTTATTAAAATCTTTTGAAAAACCATAACAATAATAATTTGCAGGTTCCAGTTTATGCCAAACATTTTTAATAGATCCTGGTGAAGGACTCCTTAAGAGGTATGGGATTATCATGAAACATGCTTGGCAATAGAGATGAAACAAAATCTCCAGAATATTCAGAAAGCTTCATAAGCAATGTGAATCTTACCGTTCCAGAAGGTCCTTTCTGAATCTCGATCCCTGGGGTAAAGCCAGGAGTTCCAAACCCACTGAAACACCAAGTCCTAGGTCCCTTTCTCCTTTAAGTCCCAACATATCCAAGTCGAGACGAGTAAGATGGTTAGCCAAGGCACGAGGCCCACTTTCCAGAAGGACACCACGCACACGTGCCATAACGCTCTTGTCAAGTGGCTTATTATCAGACGGAAGCAGCGTTGTTGCAAATGTCACTAAGTCGAATGTTGATGGTGGGTCAATTTCAGGCACAGTCACCACACGGTTGCAAGCCGCTACCTCCGAACATTGGCCAGTTGACATCTGCATCGTACCAGCAATACCAGTCCGAATGTGGGTTCGGTGTGACAATGCTGGCAATCCATGTCGCTTCATATCACTTGGCCGGGTTGCGGGGTCACCTGCTTCAGCAACGTGGCAAGAACTGCCATTGTCAGCAAGCTCAGAATAGACACCTTCACAGTTGTTGACATACTGTGTCACTGGAACAGGGTCTCTCTTGGCAACTGCTGGCTTCTGTTGCAACCGTTTCGAGGGGACTCGGCTAGGCTTAGGTGGTGGCTGATCTTCTGAACTTCCTTCAAGGTTTCTGAAGTTCATAAATTGCCAATTGATTAGGTGCCGGTGGCTGGTATATATTTGACAAGTTCGAATATGATATGTAGAGCTTGCTAGCCCATGCAGCATACATATGCCAAATGCAGTCCGATAAGCCAATTCATAATTTATCTTCAGAAAAAGTGGAGAAAACTTGAAAGCCACACTACAAATGCACGATTGACAAGTATTGTAATGAGGCGTCATTGAAACTTAGAACAATCCTACATCAAAGCATGTAAATGGTCGTGCAGTCTACTCAGCATTGCACCCATATCAGCATCCAGTAATATTGTTCATACATAATGATAGCTTAAAGTAAAATGCATATACATTTCACATAGAGCATTGTCTCTCATCTCTCTAACTAAACTCTAAAAAAAAAAAGGGGGGGGGGGGTGCTGTCTACAGAGGTCTAATGAAAATTATACTTCAGAAAAATCTAAGTTAGCTGTCATTTTCTTGTCGGTTGTTTGGTCAGGATACATTCCAGGAATAATGAATGACATTGGCTACATTCAATATAATGGCAAAGCATGAAAAAAAAAAAAGTTAAAAGAATGTACAAACATTTGTTACAAGTTATGGCTAAAGTTCAGGGTTAAATGCACTAAACTTGTGGAACTTAATTTCTTTTCGTATTAACTGCAGAAAACCAGCTACTGGCAACTAGAATGTATTCCCACTATTCCGTTGGCCACGCTTGGCCTTAGTTACAAATGATCATTCGTTTTTTTTTTCCTGCCCACATGAACTTTTCAACATATTTTTATTGTGCTGCATAAAAATCGCATAATACCTACGTGTGAAATAAAGGTGCAAACAGAAAGTAGCTTTAATATAACACACCAATGCTACCTACTATAAATACTGCAGCACTGGTATGTTTTCGACATGACAATTAAAAACATGAAAGGCTTTGCAATGTACACATTATTTGCACCAAAGGTTGGCCCGCAAGAAAACCTTGCACTTTAGGTTTTTATATGTAAGGGCTGCAGAAGTGTCATATTTACATACACTTGAAATTATTAGAGTGCAATAAACAGCGAAGAACGAGGCAACCTGTTTTCCCACAAATTATTCTTCATCCAGAGTATTTTCAAGTGCAATGAAGCTGTAGTAGTTCCACAAGTTGTGCCTCTGCATGCATGCTTTTCACTTCAAACGTCAACCATTAAAGCTATTATACAGGCAGCTGCCAGTCATTGTTCCTCCATTCTTCTTCCTTTCTTCGGTGCACTATCCTTGAGCAGATCTTTACGGGACTTCTACTTAAAGAAAACTTTATAAATTGTTATTTTATGCTTGTTAACATTTTTTATATTAGCAAAAAATAATTAAGTGGCAACTAGTACACACCACAGGAAAAAAATCAAGGAGAGTTTCCAATTACGTACATTAATTTAACAATGAAATTGGGAGGGGATTAACGAAGCATGGTAAAAGCCAGATAGCTAATTTTTTTCTGAACTGTCATTGCTATTGAGTGGCGATACATTTTGTTACATAGCTCCAGTTGCCAGAACAGCCACTAAATAATGCTGCTCTCTCTTTCACACTTGGAAGTGCAGAAAAACAATGCGACAAGAGCCCCGCCCCGGTGGTCTACTGGCTAAGGTACTCAGCTGCTAACCTGCAGGTCGTGGGACTGAATCCCCAGCTGCGGCCGCTGCATTTTCGATGGAGGAAAAAATGTTTTAGGCCTATGTGCTCAGATTTGCTTGCATGTTAGAGAACCCCAGGTGGTTGAAATTTCTGTAGCCCTCAACTACGGCGTCTCACATGATCATATGGTGATTGATTTGATTGATATGTAGGGTTTAATTGTCCTATGATTATGAGAGACACCATGGTGGAGTGCTCCGAAAATTTCTACCACCTGGGGTCCTTTAACGTGCACCCAAATCTGAGCACACGGGCCAATAGCATTTTGGCTTCTATTCAAAATGCAGCCGCTGCAGCCGTGATTCAATCCCGCGACCTGCGGGTCAGCAGCCGAGTAGCTCAGCCACTAGACCACCGTGGCGGGGCCATAATCATATGGTGGTTTTGGGGTGGTAAACCCCACATATCAATCAAATCAAACACTGGGAATTATCAAAGGGCAAGTCAATTGCACTCTTTGACACTCGAGTATAGCTTTCTGATAAAAAATCAGTCAGACTTCATTACTCCACAGAAATTAACGCTATCAGCCTGTTGCAAATATAACGGTTATGGTTTCCATGTATGATGGCCTTCCATTTTTCAAGTTCAATCTTGCCTTTGCACTGGTTAAAGAGGTTACAAACCTATACCTGCTAAATTCTGTCACAGATACCACTCTGACTTATTCTGCAGTACTGCTTGCCACTGTAGCCAAAGTGATTTTCTAAAAAGTGCGCACTTATCTTGTCATCTACATTTTACTAGATTTTTGGATTAACCTGTGTATTTGCATGTACTTATATATACTGTAATAAAGGCCTACGATACGTATACAGTAATACACACAAACATACGTGTGGACAGAGTTCTCAATTAGGTGGTGGCCCAAGTTTCACTGTAGTGCTTCTATGCACGTATATACACACATACACAAACAAAGGTTCTGGACATAGCATCCACAAGCAACTTGCCTCTGAGCAGCCTCTGAGCTGACTGTGCCAGAAAGTGGCCTGTGTTCTAAGGTCCTTCGTTCCAGGGTTGGACTGAGCAGTGGATCACTGCCCACACGAATGAAGCCTCTCCTGTGGTTCCCAGAGTTGTCCCTACAGGGCAATGTTGCACATGATGGCATCTGTCCAGCATTTGTATGGCCCGAGGAGTGCGATTTCTGTAGTAGGTGGGGTTCAGTAGACAGCTGCACAAAGATGTGCAGGAAAATGTGTCTGAGTGACTGCTCCCTGAGTGATCTATTGCTTCATGCTTCTTGGGGACAAGCATCACCACCCATATATAGTTTGTGAGAATATGCGGCAGAAACAGGAAACAATACAAACAGTATGAGTGCACTAAAGTAACCAGCTGAAGTTAGTTGGCAACTTATTCACATGCATGAATTAATTTTTATAATCGGGAAAAAGTACATAAGAAAGATTTTGTTCGCTATTGGCCCAGCAAAAGGTCCGAGGCCTTTGTTAACTGATTTCAGTGTACGATTCTTAAGAACACATAAAAAGATTACCGAATTTGGATGTCTAGAGCGCACTTTCCCGCTAGTTTTCAGCAAACAATACTGATCCTTCTCTTACAATAACTGGCTGGCCCTACCTACATTTCTATTTGGCTGGCCCTACCTACATTTCTATTTATCTTGCCATTTCTGTACCATTAGGAGAGACTTAGTTTCTGCAGAAAGAAAGCCTATCATATCAAGTGTTCATTCTTCTGGTACATTTTTCAAAGCCACATTAATCGGTAGTACTCAGCTTTGAACGTTATCTCTGATATGTGCATAACAAATGAGCCTGAGCACCAGCCAAAACAAGTGCAAGCTCAGTCATTCTAGCATGCTCTGTACATTTCCAACAATCTAAAAGTTCACTCATCGTTTCTTAACATTTGACTACGGTTCGCTAATTCTCGAGAGGTCTGGCTGCAAATGCAACTGTATTTGAACAATCAAATGTAGCATGAAACAGTGTCATACCCCATTGGAAGGTGCAGGTACCATAGCTATGGCATCAAGAGCCCTGTGCTGGGGTGGCTCTACAGCTTTAGAACCTTCAATGCCATAGCGCTGCGCATAGTAGGAAAGTGGCATGCTCCTATTCACTGGCCTTGACACCACAGCACCGGAAGCAGCTGAAATTGGCCGCTTGTTTCCAACATAGAAGGTTACAAGGTCAGGCACCGTGTCAAAACAGTCATCCTCAAACTGGTACTGGACGCGCTCATACACGGTGAATGGTTGCAAGACCACCTGAAAGGTTAAGTGTTCAATTAGAGATAATAATGAAATTAGCCGTGGAGATTGATCCTTTGGTTAGTTACAAACAAATGAAACCAACTCACAATGAAACCAAGGGAAGTGACAAAGTAATTGGCTAGACTGTGTAATTGAAACTTAAAGTTAAGAAAGAAAAAAATGGATGTGTAGACGACTTGCAGCAGGTACCGTATTTACTCGATTCTACCGCGCCCTCGATTGTAATGCGCACCCGATTTCCACCGCGAAAAAAAAACAAAAAAACGTAAGACATCGATTGCAACGCGCACCCATTTTTCTCGCTGGCCCGCACGATCACACCACTCGAAAAAACGACTGCTTTCGGGAGCATCTTCCATTTAAATATGAGGTACGGGCGTGGCTTGTGCCCATCTGACGTGTAACAGAGCATTGCCGTCACTGTAGTTTTACCGTGGACCGATGTCAGCACGCGAACTTGCTTCGCCCCCTTCTCGACGGTTGTGGTGCCAGGCATGTCGAAGTAAGGAGGCGTCTGATCGGCATTCCCGATTTGCCCAAGCAGGTAGCCGTTGTTGCGTCGCAAGTTCAGGACGAACCTCTGAAAACTGTGAAGCTTTTCATCGTACTCCTCAGCAAAACTTTTCGCATATGCATGTTCCCCTTCGGAGGGAAAAGCCTTTCCTCTTCATAAAGTTAGTTAGCCAGCACCTGCTTGCTTTGAACTGGCTCCACATTAGACCTTTTTCTAAGACTAATTGCATAGCTCGCACTTGGAGCAGTTCTGTCGTCACGGGCCGCTCGCTGCTCAAGCACATACTCGCCGAGCAGCTCTTGAATTTGCGGAAATCGACCCTGCTGTGGTCCATTGAAGCCTTTGCGTGAAGCTTTGCTGTCGACAATCTTCTGCTTTTGTTTCCGCCGGTCCCGCACGCACGTCTCGGGAACTCCGAACGACCGCGATGCGGCCCGATTTCCGTCCGTTTCTGCACACGCGATGACTTTTCTTTTAAAAGCGGCATCGTGGTGCACTCGAGTTTTTGGAGTCGGCCTTTCCACGCCGTCGATGCTAATGCACTACTAGATGACGAACTCAGCACACGTACGAAGTGCCGCACATGGGAAACACATAGGCAGAAATGGCCGACGCGCCATGCCGACGCACGTAGGGGGGGCGGCCATTTTGGATTTGCCGATGGCAATAGATTGACCGTAATTTTTTTGTTCGTACTCGATTCTAACGTGCATGCGATTTATGAACTCGCTTAACTGGAAAAAAGGTGCGCGTTAGAGTAATTACGGTAAGTACTTAACTCACACCTGTTGTGAGGAACGTGATCTACCTCTGAGCAACAAGGGCAGCCACCATTTTGTACACATTTTTGTAGTATTTACATTTGTGCTTATTTGATAGCCTTGAGAGTGAATACGACTCATGGTCGTGGCTGTGGAAGTAGACAGATATCAATAAAAGGAGCATGTTTAATTTTGTATATGCTTACCTTACTTCATTGAAGACATAACAATGCGTGTGAGAAATTCAGGTGAAGGCGTGTGCCTAATGAGGGAGGGAGATGGCAGTGGGAGTGTGGGTACGGCTCACCAAAGAAGCCACTTCAGATACACTAACGCTAAAAAGTGCAAAAAAGCAACGCCACGAAAAGCAAACACACAGAACATGAATGAATGATGGTTATGTTTTTTACTGTTTTCATGTCAACATATTTTGTTTCCTGTCAATCTCTTCCTCCCCCCCTTGTTCTTTCCTTTCTTGTAACTGTTTCACACATACTATTTATATACAGCAACATAAGTTAATGTGTCGAGCACATGTTGTCACCCGTTTAAGACGTCTACGTTTAAAGCTGCCATCCCATTTGTTTTAACATATTAAGGAGTTGTTTGATAAACACCAAGATCAAATGCTGTATTGCTCTTTACGGATAACAACATGGCATAATTCTTTAGACAATAGAGTACCACCTCAGGGTGATGATCACAAGCATTCAGTAAAAAAATGTCTGATCCCATGAAAAGAGTTGTTTCCGTCTTTCTACTGTTATGCAGAATCAAGAACATGGTATATTTTTGTCGATAAAAAAATCAGATATACATTCAATTGGTCTACAGATTAGGCTCTTCTATGTCATCTTTATGCAAGATCTTTTCCCATTGAGCCCCGAAGTGTGGATGCTTGTTTTGTACAAAGGGCATGTCATGACCGAGGCAAATACATACAACTAAATGAGTTTATACTACACCCATGCTATTTCAAGCACTACCAAATAAGCTAGTACAACTATGCTGCTACCAACCCTACATGCCCGCGTCAGACACTTATTGCATACTATGACAGCACTTACTAATTCGCATCATACCACACCCATGTTATTTCAAGCTCTACCAAATGAGCTAGTCTATGCTGCTATCAACCCTACATGCTTGTGTCAGACACTTATTGCATACTATGACAGCACTTACTAATTCACATCATCTCCAAAATTGCCAGTATGCTTTACAGTGCAGGCAGACTAGTTGTCTTATACGTGCTTTGTAAACTATAGGTTTTCCCGCTCAGTTTAATCCAAGTGCCAGTGATAATAATCCTGGCGCCAGCCAATTCAATCTGAACACCAATGCTTTTAATCCGAGGGCGAATTATTACATCGAGGCACCAGCACATTTAATCCCAGTGCCATTGGAATTAATCTGCGTGCCATTTGATTTAATCCTTGTTCCAGTCTTTTTGATCCTTGTGGAAGTAGTGAATGTTCTGTAATGATCCTATAATTGATTAAACATATTAGTATTTGCAAAATAGTACCTAAAAAGCGTCATCATTTGCAGCTATTTATTTACACATCACTCTTTTTCTCTGTTCCTAGGCACCTTTCCGAGTGACAAGCGATTCACATGAGTGGCTTACAGTCCTGAAAGATGTCACACGAGTTGGATTCTTTCATTTCTTATAATTTGCATCATTATTACGATACATATCGATCAGTGTAATGTAAAATGTTGCTTGAGTGACAGATATCACTCGTTTTAGTGACTTTATCACTAGTGACTCACGCAAAGTGTATGAGGAATTGTAAGCAACATTTTACATCAGCAAATTACATTGATCGATATGCAAGGCAATAAAGATTAAAATTATAGGAAATGAAAACAACCCAACTCGCATGATATCTTTCAAGACCATCATTCACTCATGTGAGTCATTTGTCACTCTGAAACATGCCTAGGAAAGGGGAAAAGGAGTGATGTAGCACAAGTAAGTGATGAATAGCCTCAAATGATGACGCTTTTTAGGTACTCTTTTGCAAATAATATGTTTAATCGATTGTAGAACCATTACAGAACATTCACTGCAACAGGGATTAAAACAAGTGACATTTAGATTAAAATGGCTGGTGCAAGGATTAAATCAAATGGCAAGCGGATTAATTCCAATGGCACTGGGATTAAATATGTGGTGGCACCTGGATTAAATAATTGGCCCTCAGATTAAAAGCGTTGGCGTTCAGATTAAATTAGCTGGCGCCAGGACTATTATCACTGACACTTGAATTAAACTGAGCGGGAAAACCTGTAGACGACTTGGCATGCAGCGCTTATCATCTCAGTTAATTTACAGCACTTCAATGAGAAGAATTTGAATTTGGCTGCTACAACTGCACCGCATCGAGACTGTCGGTGCAGAAAAGCTTACGCACGCGAGCTTTATGACGGGGCTGATTATGCCATGTAGCACTTGCTTAGCTAAGCCATACTTAAGCATGAGGGTTGTGTGTCACTTCAGCTTCATGAAGTATGTAGTGTTGTAATTCACAAGAAAGCTAATTAAACAATGCACTTTTAAATGCACATAGCTAGACCCCCATTTATGCCTAATTTAGCATCAGCAAATGATGTTTTCTCAGGCTATTATGTACAGTTTTCCAGTGAAATTATGTGATTATCATTGTATATAAAAGTGTTTTAAAGTTAACTGTAACATCTCACCACAATAAATTTTTCAACTGTGCGGGGGGGCTTTTTTTTGTAGCATTCTGTTTCAAATGGATGGATTAAATTTTCTCATTACCTAATATGTGCATGTGTACAATAAGCCTTCACATGGTCAAATCAGTTATTGCACAGCTCTTAGAGAGGCTAGTTTAATAGAAGTTAATTTGCTCCACTAGATCATTTTAGATGAACAATGAACTTCAAAGTGCTTTGGCAACATCAATAATTAAATAGTTTAACATAATTTTGTTGATTATGGACAAAGCTGCACAAATGATTGTCTACAGCCTGCCAGTCTAAATGAACCAATGCCAACAGTAACATCAAAGTTATTTAGATCAGCATAACTTTTTAATATTTCATGCAGTAAGTAAATTATATGCATCAGCCAACCACATTATGCCACAACGCAATCTTTTCAATTACGTGTGCCTGTAGTAATATTAAACTGTGTAGTCACAAACAAGTGGTCACAGAGCACAACACAATCACCTTGTTGATGACGAAGTGGAGTGGTGCACCCTTCCAGCAGCATGTGAGCACATAGTCTCCAGGCCGCGAAACACAATCCCTCACTAGGAAGCCGCCGTCAACCGTCATGAGTTCCTCAGCGCGCTGCCTCGGGATGGTGCCATGGTACCAGGCATGGCTGCGCAAGTCACGACTGTCCAGTCCTAGTTCCCATTCCAATGCTTTCTTTAAATCTTCAGATGGTGTTTCAACCGTCATGGGCGTCTCCTAATAGAAACAATGCACTGAGGACCACCTTTCAAGACTACAAGAAGCTTATGGCATGCCGTCACTGAGTGCAGCTTGCAGATTCGAATATTGGCCATGTTGGCCACATTTCATTGTGAGCAGAATATGAAAATGCCCTGATGCTTGTTAACTTAGTTAAAGTTATTGTGGAGTGCTTGAGTACATAGATGAATTGGCCCACTGCTATGAGCTGTTAAACATTGCAATATCACTGTGTAGCACAGAAGCCAGACTTCATTTTCTCCGAAGTTACCAAATGATCTCTTAGATTCTCGCTGCTATTCACTGGAGCAATAGACGGTTTACCAATAAAAGAAACACTGTGGTTCTTTAAGAAATAAGCTCAATCTTGACTTAGAAACACTTATGGACCATGCATAAAGAATTAGATGCACAAAAATACATTGTGACACTGAAGATATTATACTGGCATTATTGGCAATGTATATTGGGTGCAAGATTAAAGCTAGAATTTTGGATTTATTTTACATACTAAGATTTTACCTCACTCTTCGAATGAGGGACAGCAATTCAAATTAGTTGTGAGTATAGCATATATTACTATGAACTTCTTGCTTGACACTGAAGAGCAACAAGTTTTTTTGTACACTTTTATTTGTCTTTGACTTGATAATTTATACATTCCTACTCAAAATAATAACTAATTTTCTCTATGTACTTTGCCTTTATATTTGCTTCTTACCCATTATTGGATAACAACTTACAATTAATGTAAAGAAGCTAGGAAATGCTGGGAGCATGCCACAAATAGCTGACATGATGCTTGTACTTGGTGGATTCTCAGAATTTTTGCTGCAGTCGATTGGTCAAGTAATAAACTCTGGTGTTCTTTTAATGCAAGTTTGATTTTACCATCTCTTTACACTTTTTGATTACTGCTCCAAGTGTTGACTTACATTGTTTGATGCAGAGTTGCAGCCATTCATATTTATAACATAGCATATTTTTACAAAACAGTATGCATGTCAAAGTATGTATGATGTATGCATGTAAAATGATAAAAACTTTCTTCTTCACAACATGTACAACATGACTGACTTAAAGGGGCCCTGAAACATTTTTTCAAGTAACCATGGAATAGATTCACTAAAATAGCTTACTGCCTCACGAATTCGATTGATTGATTGATATGTGGGGTTTAATGTCCCAAGACCACCATATGATTATGAGAGACGTCGGAGTGGAGGTCTCCGAAAATTTCAACCACCTCGGGTTCTTTAACATGCACCCAAATCTGAGCACACGGGCCTACAGCATTTCCACCTCCATCGAAAATGCAGCCGCCGCAACCGGGATTCGATCCCGCGACCTGCGGGTCAGCAGCCGAGTACTTTAGCCACTAGACCACCGCGGCGGGGCTGCCTCACGAATTCAACGCCGCAAAAATTTTAAGAATCCGTCCAGTGCAGGTGCAGTCACAAATATTTGTCGCACGCTGCAATCGCATTCTGTCTTCTCTCGTCCCGACAAAAGCGCTGGAAGCTAAGTAGAAAGAGATCGCAGAGGCAAATATATATATATATATATATATATATATATATATATATATATTGTGTTAAAGCATTCCCGCTGACGCCAGCACTACTGCGCCCACGTTCCTCCCTGGAGCGCTCGTCTGGCTGTCGATCCCTACCACTGCAACTGGCCTATCTTCAAAACTATTACCCAAATATGAAGGCCCCTACCATGTCGTCAAATGCACTTCCCCAGTCAACTACTTGCTGATAATGCTGCCCGATCCGCCCACGTGGACGCCCAGACAACCCCAATTCCATTGTCGAGAACAGACGCTGCAAGGGGCCTTCACTCGTTCGCTAACACCATGTCGAAAACTTGGCTGAGTGACCCCAGAGTCAGCAACCGCCGCCTACACAAATTGGACCCATCGAGAAAGCTCCAAGTTCTATCGGACCTCTCCCGCCAGGATGCAACTTTACTGTGCCGCCTGTGGTTAGGAGTAGCTTTTGCAAAGGCGTACTCCTTTCGCATAGGAATGGCGGATAGCTCCCGATGTGAATCGCGCGACACTGACGAGACAATAGAACATCTACTGTGTTCATGTGAACGTTTTGCGAGCGAACGCAACTTGCTATGCGAAACGTTTGAGACACTAGACAGTAGACCTTTTTCCGAAGAGAAGATACTTGGCTCATGGCTCTACGCATCGCTGGCCAGCAAAGCGACGCGGGCATTGCTAAGTTTTCTAAAGACGACCGGACTACGCGACCGCTTATAAGCGTGCAATGGACAAGGTTACATCTATACACACGTTGCCCTTCACTTCTCTCTCTCTTCTCCTTTAATCCCCTCACCCCTTCCCCCAGTGCAGAGTAGCAAACCGGACGTGCGTCTGGTTGACCTCCCTGTCTTTCATTTCTTCCCTTCCTCCTCCTCCTCCTTGATTGAACCCATCGAACCATCTTCGGACATGCGCCGTCGAGGACGCCACATTGTTAACGTGGAGCACCTCAAGGCCTACCATGACCCGCTCATTGTAACCAGCTGTTAGGTCGCCAGGCGGCTCCCTTTTCGTACCCGGGGTAGTTGTGGTAAAGCCTTTGAACAGTGGGTCGTCCTCTCCAGCGCCTTCTAGTGGGTCGCCCTTTTCATAAGAAGAAGAGCAGCTCATGGAGAGAGTCAGTCCCCGCATTGACTGTCGCTGTTGTGAATCATCGCGGAGTGTCTGCCAATATACCTCTTAACAATATATATATATATATATATATATATATATATATATATAAGGGAAACAAGTGTATACTTAAGGGCTCGTTTTTCGTGTTTACACAATATTAATGAGATCTCACAGACAATAATGCCAAGAAAGGTATGGGGGAAGTCATTAGGCCAATTGTAATGTAAATGAGAAGAAAGAAAAGTGGGTGAAAAGATAACTTGCCGTGGGCAGGATCCGAACCTGCGACCTTGGAATAATGCGTTCGATGCTCTACCACTGAGCTACCACGACAGCTATCCCCCCAGCCACTTTATTGGGTATCTATGTCAATTTAAATGTGGGAGTGCATGTCAGCGCCACTAGTAGCCATGGCGGCGAGTGTGGCACACTCTTTATGAGCCTGTTTGGCGTCACGTAGCATGTGAACTTATTACTAACTGGCAGCTGACCAATAGTCCCCCGTATACAACCTAGAGGCACCTAGTCTACCAGTACGAGACCCTCGTTAGTGAATAAGAAAAACAAGTGTATACTTTAGGGCTTGTTTTTCGTGTTTTAGACAATATTAATGAGATCTCACAGACAATAATGCCAAGGAACGTATGGGGGAAGTTATTAGGCCAATTGTAATGTAAATGAGAAGAAAGAAAAGTGTGTGAAAAGATAACTTAAAATTATTTTTTCACCCACTTTTCTTTCTTCTCATTTACATTACAATTGGCTTAATAACTTCCCCCATACCTTCCTTGGCATTATTGTCTGTGAGATCTCATTAACATTACACACACACACACACACACACACACACACACACACACACACACACACACACACACACACACACACACGTCACGCGTGCGTCGTGACTTTGAGTACTTTTTCTACTTTCTATTTTTCCTTCAAACACGCGGCTTTTTCAGTGTAATCACACGCGCACGCGTAGCCAATTCGCGGCCTCCCGCGGCGATCCCTGTAACGAGCGAGCGCGCTACATTCAAATCAGCCAATGGCTGATAGATGGCCTTCTGGGAGTAATTTTTGAGCGTCTTCAGTCACTTCGATAGATGAGAAAGTAATATTTAACTGATTTTGATAATTTATTGTCAATTCCCGGCTGCGTGCTGCACTATAACATTTGGCTCACATATTCTCGTGAGCCTCTACTACAAAGGGCAGCGTTTTCTGACCATGCTCAAGAGGTGTTGCGGGCCTCTTTAAAAAAATAAAAGAAGAATATTGAGCCACAATTATTATCTACCGGATGGTTTTTTAGAGAATAAATTGTAAAAAATTTTGTGGCAGTCAGGCTCCTGTCGTTATTGCACATGAGCATGGTTGAGGTGAAAATACTTTTCTGCCACAAAAAAAAAAAAAAAAAAGACGATGGGACTAAGCAACAAAACCTCGTTAATCAACTTTTTGATTACCGACTTCAAGGCAGGTGCTCATATTACAAAGTTGTAGCGCGAGTCAAATAATGGCATACATATATATATATTTTAAATTGCAAGCGTTGCACATATTTCGTCGCAACGATCACGCTTGCTGCTCACAAAGCGCAGCAGAACACTGGAATGACACGTGACAGGGAAGTGACAAAATTTCAATGAAGGCCAAAGTCGAATCACGTTAGCAAAATCGGCAAGCATTTTCAAATGCACTAATAGATGGCAAGCCCTGAAAAGCGCGCCCTTTTCGCAGATGGAGGCTGTGCAACGATTGTAATTTATTTATTTATTTATTTATTAGTACCTCAAGGGTCTCGAGGAACATTACATGAGTGGTGGGTATCATAAGTTAAGAGAAAACGATAAACAATATAACAATAAACATCAATAAGACTAAAATACAAAATGTAGATACAAATGGCGGCAATAAAAATGAGACAATCCATTTCACAAAAGCAAGTCCAAAGGCATCAATTCATGTATGTTCGATAGTATATCGGAAGCGTGTTGCATCACGGACAAGTGCAACATCTTTTGGAAGGCCATTCCAGTCTCGAACAGTTCTGACGAAGAATGACTGATGGAATGTAGTGGTGCGGGTGACCTTTGTGCGCCCGTAACTACAACAGAATTGTTCCAGTGCAAGCCCAACGCCAGCCAAGATGTATTATCCTCTCCACCAGGAGATAATGGCACCCGAGAGATTGTCCACTGTCCTCCTCTCCACGGGCCAAAGTACGCGTGGGAGATGAGAGCCGCCATGCGTTAAATGCGCCATCTTGCTGATAATGCTGAAAACATGATACCCCCCCCCCCCCCCCTCCTCCAAGATGCCTGCCAACAGCAGTAAGTGGTAGATATAAATAGCTTGCCATTCGAATGGTCAAGGAGGTACCCCTCGGTGGATCAGTGGTTGAGGTCTCGCAATCACGACGCGGAGGTCTCACGTACGATTCTACGCGCCGGAGTCTTATTTCTGGATTTTTTTCTTGCGTTTTCATATATATATATATATATATATATATATATATATATATATACGTATACATATACAGTGCATGACATCGACGCCGGCGGCAAAATGCAGCCGAGAGTTTCCATATAATTGTCATCGCAATAAAAGGGGTGGAAAACTATTTCATTTGTCTGCGTTTTATCAGAGTCCTTCATAGGATTAAGGACTTTGGTTTTATGCTTCCTAGACACAGGAATAGTTGACATTGCAGTTTTTTTGTGTGCACAGTTGGAGAGAAAAAGACAAACACCAAACACGCACAAAAATAAGGCGATGCGCGGGCACAAGTGAGACTTGCAGCTGTACTCGAATAATTTCTAGTACACTATAACTTTTCACGAAAACATACGGCCGCGGCACACTGTCATTCAAAGTTCATCACATCGTATGTCACGGGCAGTTCCCCCCTGATGTAGCATAACAGTCACACCTCTCGCACGCCTTGCGCGATCAGTTTTGATTTTGCCCATGAAATTCGGTAATGAATGTAAAACCCCTTAATTAGGGCCTTTGAGATATTGTAAATAAATAAATAAATAATAAAAGGGCTCTGCAACACTTCTTTAAGTAGCTATCAAATGGATTCATTAAAGGAGCTTAATGCCTCATGAATTCACCGCCACAAAAATTTTTAGAATCCGTTCAGTATGAGTGGAGTTACGAACATTTGTCGGACACTGTAATTGCATTCTCTCTTCTCTCGTCGCAGTGAAAGTGCTGGAAGCCAAGACGGGAGGAATGGCACGGGGAAAAAGATACATCACGCACGCCTCGAGACCCTGAGCACTTTTTATCTTTTGTTTCTTTGAATATGCGACTTTTCAGTGCGATCGCGCGTGCATCCGTGGAGATGTCGCGGCCTCCTGCGGCGGCCCAGTAAGAACCAAGCGCGCCTTGTTCAAATCAGCCAATGGTTGACGCAATGGCTGTGACGTGCAATTTTCGACCATGTTGCATCATTTGTCAAGAAAAGGGAAACCAATCTTTAGCTGACTTTGACAACTGACTTTGAAAAGTCACATGCTGCACTACAATATGTGGCTTGCGTATTCTCGGGAGCCTCGACTACTGATCGGCAGCATTTTCTGACCATGCTTAAAAAGTATTGCAGGACCCCTTGAAAATAGGTGAGACTTTTGCAATTTATAAAAAAATAGGTAAGTCATAAATAGGCACTCACTACAACTATTGTAATATAAGTATCTATCCTCAAGGCAGCAACTTGTAAATTAGGGAGTTATTAATTAGTTGCAACAGTGTAATTTCCACTGCGGCAAAGTGATTCCCCCTCGACGTGAAGTTCTTATGCGAAAACTACAGGAGCTTTATTGTCATAAAATTGAAAAAAGAAACACCCTTCATATTTCTCAGCTACGGAGCTGACAAGGCAATATCAATTGTGTCACATTGGTGTTAGGTATTGCAAACACTGCCTATTTCTTCTTAGCCACGGAGCTGACAAGGCTGCCCCGCCGCGGTGGTCTAGTGGCTAAGGTACTCAGCTGCTGACCCGCAGGTCGCGGGATCGAATTCTGGCTGCGACGGCTGCATTTCCGATGGAGGCGGGAATGTTGTAGGCCCGGTGTGCTCAGAGTTGGGTGCACATTAAAGAACCCCAGGTAGTCTAAATTTCCGAAGCCCTCCACTATGGCATCTGTCATAATCATATGTTGGTTTTGGGCCGTAAAACCTCACATATCAATCTATCAATCATCATCGGAGCTGACAAGCCAATATCAATTGGGTCACATTGGTGTTTGGTATTACACCCTGAAGACTTGGTACACATGCAATTCCTCTGCTGGGTCATGTCATAATCACCTTTCATAGAAACAATGTGAATTAAGAGTGAACTTTAGGTCGATAACTCTTGTTCAGGCTACACAACGGTGTACGCCACGAACAATGACTAGCATACTAAGGTATGTGGCATAGTCATACATCCCATAAAGAGTGCAATTAACATATACGAGAAATTTTCATTATTCAGGTCCTTTACAGCTTTTTATTCACCTGATTTGCACTACACCACGGGGTGGAATCAAATGATCTTTCCATGTTGTTTGTGCTAATATAGTATGCACAAAATAAGTAATAAACTAAAGGTCATTATACGTTAAATAGTTATCACATTTGCTGTATATGCAAGGCGGGCAGTCATAATATTTACATGACGATGCGAGATCTGCTGAATAAAGGCATGTATCTCTGTGAGCAAATAGCAAGCTCACCATGCTCGATCTGTGACTAGAAGCAGCAGTCGAGGTAGAGCCCGTTCGCACCAGCGATGCTGGTGAGACAGTGGAGTGAACCAGCACGTTTGGGTACGAGACTGTCTTTCCTCCAAGGTTAGGTGGCCTGAAAAGAAGAGAGAGAGAAAAATATCCACCAGTTAATTGATTCACTTTCCTTAATGGGGCCCTGCAACACTCTTCCGAGTATCATCGAATATCTTCACGAAAGTAGTTTATTGCATTGCGAACCGCCGCAAAAACGTTTAAGCCTGTTTTACATGCGAGTGATTTTGCTTCAGGAGCGGAGCGGCAGCTGTCGCGTGAACCCAAAACAGGTTTCTAGGGTGTTTATACCAGACGCTGCGATGAACATCGACAGAGTTGGAAAGCTTTGCTCGCAGCAGAGCGTCTCACCAATGGGGGAGCACTGACGCAGGGGGCACGTGACCACGGAGTCGAGGAGCGGGCGCGCGCGCTTAGAGGAACTTGCTCCGACTCAGCATACCAGAAACACAGCCTATCACCCCTAGTTCACACTGAAGCATCCGCTTTCTAGAGCGACCCAAATCCTCCTGCCGCCGAAACGGAGAGTCGTTCGTACTGAACGCGCCCCGCGCCGACGAATATGTCATCTACCACGGGGCGAACGCGGGATGGATGCGCTGTCACCCGATTGTTTTCGCTGAAGGGGCTTAGTTGTCGCGGCTCGCAAACGCCCCTAGGCTGTTTGGTGGTCTAGTCTTCGATGATTCTCGTACGCAGGAAGCAAAAAGAAGCAGTAAAAAAAAAAAAAAAAAAAAAAAAAAAAAAAAAAAAAAAAAAAAAAAACTGACGCCCACGGCGTCGGTGGGTTCGTCTAGCTTTGCAAGACCGCGACAAGCTCGGTCACCTCTTCCACAAAATAGCGAGGTGAAGTAGGCATAGAGTGGGTTAAACTCCCGTTGGTTACAACATTCAGTTACGTGCACTGCGACATGACAAATCAGTAGGGCTTGGCCGCCAATTATTAAAATTCCTTGACTAGCGCTCCTATTGTTCCACGGCGAGCGATTCAGTGGCAGACACTGCAAAAATCGGTCCGAGAGCGATCCGCGCGGAGAGGGCCCTTTCGGCGGATCTCTCCGTCGCCGAATCGGATTTGGCGCACTGTCAGCGGCTCAGTGTGAACGCGCCTTCACACAGCGGCGGGCATCGCGCAAAAGCGGCGCGTGTGATACAAACTCGAGCCCACGCGTCTTGTTGCCGCTCATCGCCGCCACTCAGTCGCTCGCATGTGAAACAGGCTTTAAATCAGTCAAGTACGACCGGAGTTATTTGTCACACGCTTTTTTTCTCTACTTTCGTACCAGCGAGTGCGTTGAAGAATACGCGGGGAGGAGGGGGTTAAATTACAAGGGGGCAAGAGCTAGCTATGTTCGTTTGTCAGCACGCGTCATGACCTTTAGGACTTTTCGTTTTCTTTTTCGGAACGCGCGGTTCGCTTTCACTACGATCGCGGCCGCGACGCGGCATGCATCCCGCGGCGGCCGCGGTGACTATGCAGCTCACGATGCTCAAACCAACCAATCGGCGTGAACTCTGGGTTTATTACATCTCTTTTGGAGAGAAGAGCGACCGATTTCTCGCTGACCATTGTAAATTTCAGGCCGCGTGCTCCGCTGTGACGTTTGGCTCACGTGATTTCAGGTGCATCGACTCGCGACCGGTCACGTTTTCTAACCACGCTGAAAAAGTGTTGCAGGGCCTGCGAGTGCACATAATGCATAGAGTTTTACGAGCCGAAACCCCGATATGATTATGAGGCAAGCCCCAGTGGAGGGCTCCAGAAAAATCGTTTTAGGACAACCACATATTTAATACGATCATACGGAATCAACAGGGTGTATTTTAGACAGCATATATTTTAAATAAAAAATTATGACAGTTGGGCTCCTGTCGTTATCGCACATGAAATACTTTTCAGCAACTAAAATTACTTTGAGGCTACTAGTTATAATTAACAAGAACCCATTAAATAATTTTGAAGTATTATCCTGAGTAAAATAGTTTATCTTAGAAAGTTGTATAGTGCACGATAATTTATGGCATGCGCATTTTTTTTAAATGAGAAAAGTTGCACGCACTACAATTTTGTAACATAGACACTGGCTCTCAAGAAAGTAATTTAAAAGTTAACAAGTTTTTGTTAATGAGTCACAAAGGGGCATTTTCCTCCTCGAAGTTAGTGCGCGGAAACGACAGGAGTGTCACAAGATTTTTATAAAAATCTACACCGTCTAAAAATAAAAAAAAAACGAACCATTTCGGAAGCAGGTTTTGAAGAAGCACCACATAAGGGATTAGGCCAACATAAAATGAAAGTTCTTTTCTCTTTCGAGCCTAGTGGCACACGTCTCCGCCCCGTCATAAAGGGGACGCTCATAGCATCCATACATAGTGCAAGTGAACAAACCACGCAATGCGCTACGGCATGCGACATAGCGTTCTACAGCGCACTCCGCTGATGGGCGGTTTCGGAGAAGGGGCTCTTCGCCACTCTTTTTGGAGTCCTGCAAGGAATCCCGACGGGTTCACTGGCACCGGGCGCGCAAGTGAGCCGGGCGGGCAACTTCGCAACAACCCAATTACCGTTGCCGTAGCAGAGCCACTCCCTTAGGCATACTGGCCGCGAGGGCCTCCACTAGAGAGGCTGCATGGTGCTGCGATAGTTTCGACGTTACAGATAGGATGATCCTGCTCGCCTTGCCGAGTAGATTTTGTGGATCGCGACGTTCGCGTGAAGTTGTGGTGCGCGGTCTTCAGTTATCAGAGCGCAAAGCCTAATTTGGCCAGCTGGAAATTATCGCCGTATAAGCAGCTTGCGTGCAGGCAGCTTCCGATGATAATATTATGATATCTGGAGTTCTACGTCCCGAAAACGCGATATTAGGCCCGCCATGATGGAGGACTTACCTCCAGCGTTTCACCTCCACTGAAATGAGACCGGAATCGAATCCGCGACCATATGGTCAGCAGCTGAGTGCCGTAACCGTTAAACACCGCGGCGGACTGCAAGCAGCTTCAGCTTGTTGGTGCACAGTTTGATGCGAGTGCCAGACGCATATGCGACAGATCCCGTTGGAAGTTTCCGTAACTATCCCAAATTCAAAAAAAAAAAAAAAATGTGCGACACTTTCGACCAGATGGTCGAGATTTCTGGAGCCCTCCACTGCGGCGTCTCATGCATGACCATATTGTGGTTTTGGAACGTATAAAACTTGATATAATTGAGATGTTCGGTAACAGCTGACATACACTCACGAGCGCTCCCTGACATACACTCACGAGCGCTCCCGGCAGCTTATCGCGTGCGTTTGTACATGAACTTACTGGTCGTGAAGAACGACAGGCTAACTGTAAGTTGGCAAAACAAGAAGGGCACCCATGCACGTCTCAAATATCTCTCACGGCGAGGTCCTTACGAAGCAACCATTTTGTAACGCTTACGATGTCATCGAAGGTGCTGAAAACAAACATCGATGTGTTGCCAAGAAGTGTAAGCCAAGGCGAAAAGTAAACTTCACGGAAAATTAAAAGAGAGAAAGAAGGAGAGAGAGAGAGCACCGGTCGTGATCGCCAATCAGATCGGAGCTCGACGAAAATGAATAGTGGAAGGGAAATAGGCCCTATCTGTTTTGCAGATTCCACCGGCACTTCTAATTATGTGTGGCGATTCACTGCGCTCCAACATTCCCTCATGTTCGTTGATAGTTGTGCATTTGCACCACCCGCGCGGGTTCAGCGGCACGTTTCCCTTGATGATGAAACTTCACTCGCCCGTTTTATACAAATATAGTCTGAGAATTCTCGTGGGGAAAATATTCTGCAACGTATTAGCAGCTAAGCTTTCGCGGCATTACTTGCATCTGCTATACCGGCTTCAGAAGACGATTGTAGCAGGCCACACGTGGGTGCCGAGTGTGCTTTCCCGTATTATCGAGTCACACCCCTTCTCCAGGAAATGAGCTTCGTAACAAGGGGGAAACTCGCGCGGTGCACAGAACGAAAACGCGTGATGCCCATGGAAACGGAGTGGTCCAGCAGACGACTTAGCCTACCTTAGATTATAAAGAGTTACTACACGGAGGAGGGAATGAGTTACTGTAACTCTATCCTCAATGCGATGGAGGGGACGGTGAAGGGAGAGCGAGGGCGCGGCGGCCGATGCATGCAACAAAGAGGACAGGGGCAGAAGATACGAAACACCGCTGCGACGGCCTTGCTCGGTCGCTGTGATAGCGAAACACCCCGGATAAATGGTAGAAAATTAAGGGGGGAGAAGGAGGCACCGCAGCGAAATGACGATAATAAGACAGAAACCGCGGGGAGAAGCTATGCACGTGCACGGCGCCGGTGGCGTATACACTTCTCAGCCTCAGTACGCGATCACCCCGCTATCGTTATCGCCTCGTGGTAGGCGACAAGACAGAGGACGGCGAGGATTCGACGCACGTATAGGTATACCGGCTCAACAAGCCTGTAGCCACTGCAAATCCAGTAATGCGCTCGTAGTTCAGCGAAATTATCGTCCAAAAAAATAGGCGCACTCTAAGAAACCGCCCAGTATTTCAACGAGGACAGAACGCGAGGAGATACATAAGAACGGAGAAAACGACCCGCCCCCCTTCTCCAGCAGCAGGCGGAAGAGAGCCGCGCGGTTGACGTGGTACCATGTATGATATATGCCACGTGTTCTGCACCGGGCAATTGCTCCGTATGTTATGACCAAGCCTTGAACCATTCCCTGGGCCCTCTCTGAGACCTGAATCATACATATTCAGTAGATGGTGCGAGGAGAGAACCGATGATCGTATATCCACAACTACCACGCATATGATGTCTCGGTTGTAACGACGTTTATTTGGTCACGAACTCGGAGCGAACAGGCGACGCGGGCATGGTGATGATAACGACACCCAGAGACGATGAAAACGCTGGATGATGATGATGATTACATTAACGTGCAGATATAACGCACCACAAGTAAGCGTCTTAGGGCCGCTTTTATTAAACATCTACTCAAAAGAATATCGTCAAAATCGATACTAATACTGGATTTATTATATATGTTGACTGTCACATCAT